TCGTCACGGGATGATATACCTGCAAGATACAAGTGATGAAGAAAGAAAGCAGAAGGTCGTGAGGTAGGCTATGAGACACCACAAACGGTTCACCTACATGTCTGTTCAGGGCTAGTGCACTCACACGGAGAATTGTCATAATCGAGCATTTCCCAAACTGAGAAGTGCAATGAAATCCACTTGCATGCACAGGAGCAATTTTGCAATAATTATTATGATACGCAATTCGACACGATCTGCGATGCTGCGTGCGATGTGCCCTGCTGTCATGATAGTGACAGTCACTGCGGTATGTTTTGTCAACGTCGCCCGTGCACTCTTCTGTCAAGTCCAAAGTGCTCACATACTTGGCAATGTTTTTGCAGTGACTAACTTTTATCCTAGTTATGTCACGGGTAACTTTAATGAAGTACCCGCAGGCCGTGTCGATCTGCACATCGTCCACTCTCTCATGTACTTGGCCTGCTTTGTCTGTGTATCCATTTCATGTGCGATCCACAAAATCGACTAGACAATACGCTCTCTACCTGAAGACGTTCTTCTGGCGACATCTCGCCATGTACTTGGCCTGGCTTTGTCTGTGTATCCATTTCATGTTCGATCAACAAAATCTCAATGCACTACAGAGACTAGACAGTGGGTGCAATACGCTCTCTATCTGAAGACGTGAACCATTAAATTTTTTTTGGAAAAGTTATACGTACACCTGAAACGTAATGAAGCACAGGAATAGAGAGAGTGACTACAATACGCTCTCGACCTGATAATAGTGATAACGTGAGTACAAGACACTCTCCACCTGATAACGTGTTAGAAGGTAACATGTCTACAGTCCCACCGTACCCTTCCGACACGACTGTAGACCATTACATTTTTTTGAGAAGTTATACGTACACCTTAAACGTAATGAAGTACAGGAATAGAGAGAGTGACTACAATACGCTCTCGACCTGATAACGTGAGTACAAGACACTCTCCACCTGATAACGTGTTAGTAGAAGGTAACAGGTCTACAGTCCCACCGTACCCTTCATCATTCCTCATTCACCATCGCGCGATACCCTGGCACACACTGGCAACATATCAATCGGGTGCCTTACCGTCGTCTAGAGGAGACGTCTTCGCAGCAATATTTTCCCTCCTGCGCATTCAGTCGCCGACGCGACAGCGTTCACGGGGCCGTTCCAGTTGCGGAAGACATTCGATTCATCGGGCCAATTCAGAAACAGGGCCGTGGACACACAGGGGGCAGAGGAGAGACATTGTTAGTGGACAAGAAATATGCAGTGGCAAGTGGCGAGTGCCGCATGGATGTCAAGTTGTCATGCACAATTCAGCTATTACTTACGGTCCAGTTAGTCCTGCCATTGCTCGCTCGTCCTGGTTCCTCCTCGTTCGTCTTCCTGCACGTCTGCACTTCTCCTTCCCCACCGTTGGCTTTGCGGTACGGGGGTGCTGGAAGGAATTCCCACCATGTATCCATGTACATGAAGTCCCACCATGACTCTCCATGTACATGTCCACGGCCACGTCAGCAGTTTGTACAGTACCGGAAGGAGTTCCCACGATGCTTCCTAAGGCCTAGAGCGGACGTCTTTGCAGCAATTCTTTTCGCCCTGCGCATTCAGTTCGCCGACGATGTCTCCAAAGGCAAAGGCCTAGAGCCTAGTAGAGGGGACGTCTTTGCAGCAATTCTTTTCACCCTAGTACCCTGCACATTCACCCCGCCGACACGACAGCGTTTACGGGGCCGTTCCAGGTGCAAAAGGTCCACGTCAGCAGTTCTCAACTATTTCGCGTACGGGATAGTCGCCGCGACAGCGTTTAAGGGGTCGTTCCAGGTGCAAAAGGTATCCATCAATGGCACTTTGCAGTATGGGGTACGGAAAAGGGGCCTCCTCGTTCGACTTCGTCGACTTCTGCAGTTCTCCTTCCCGTCAGGGGTACCGAAAGGGGCCTCCTCGCAGTTGTCCTTGCCGTCAGGTCCACGTCATGCAGTTCTCAACTATTTCGCGTACGGGATAGTCGTCTTTGTCGTACGCGACATCGGCGTTTACCGAGTGGCATTGGCACAAAGTACAAAGCAGACCGTTGACGGGGTCACGTGTCAAAAAAGTATCAACAACGTGTCGACTACGTGTCGACCACGTGTATAGCGGTACACTCAGCGGTACACTAATTCTCGTGCCATTCTCGTGTCACAAAACTGGAACATCGAGTACCAGTATGGAAAGGCTTCAGACAGGAAGCCTTTCCAATAAGCTTGTCCCTTTAGCCTTTCGCCTTATACAATCATATTGAGCAAGTACAGTCAGCCATCTTCCCAATGCACTTATGAGTTATTCCCGGTCTGACACTGTGATAGTTCAGTTTCGTGACAACCGTGTGATGCCGTCAAGCATAGCCCATCAAACAATACTGTACAAGTAATTAAATTTTAGCTAACTCTTAGTCTTACAAGCCCGTATACATGTATATATGTAGGACTCAGTGAGCAGTCACGTCTCGATGACCATGATGACCGATCACGATCCCCGTGACCAATCAAACAGTCACAAATCCCCGAAGAGCAGTCATAATAAAGTCACCGATGACCAGTCACAAACAGCCGCGACTTTCTCTGTGAACGGTCACAGGGTCCACGTCAAAATATTACGACTCAACTGTAGGCATTCACGCGATCAGCATAACTAATTATTTTACTTTTTTCCTTCACAGACACAGGCCAGGTTTCCGAAGTGAGCAAGAAAGATTTCGATCAACTCTCGATCTCCGCGTAGTTTACTTGTAGCTCGAGTCTGGTGTGTGTGGGCTCCTCTCCAAAACGAAGGGTGGTCGAAAATCTTGCAGGCTTCAGATAGAATCTCTTTTGAGAGAACGTTCTGGCTAGTAGATTGTGCAATTCATCATAATTATTTGAAGAACAAACTTCGTCGTTCAGAAAAACTATTTCGGAATATTTTCAGTCAAGTAATTTTTTGCATGCCGATCTTGCTAGAACGGAGACTGATTTCAACTGATCCAGCATACAAGCAGCACTCGCTTTGTGTTTTTGGAGAGGATGGGTGACAAGATTACGGAGTCAGAAGTGGATATCGTCGACGATGCAGAGACGAAAATATAATGAAGATGGAAAAGAAAATATGTTCATCTCCAAGAAGGTACTGAGTACACCAAGCACCTTCGTGTGTATAGCTCTGTCTTTCTTGTGGAAGACTCCACAGAAAAACAATGTCCAGCTTGTTGAAACTGAAACTGCCTCTCAGTTGAAGTCGTTCAGGGAAGACATCATTGATCCATTCTCAAGAACCATCGTAAGAAATTAAATCAAGTCATGTTAGCGATAAGAATGGCGAACTAGACCAGAGAAGTGTGAGTGTCTTGTTTTGACTGCAGGAAACTGTATTTCAATATTGTGGCTCAACGTAGTGCTTACGCAGTTTACTGCTTCGAACACATCTTCATTCCTACTCCCAAAATAACTCTGTAAAATTTATTGATGTAACATTATGGTACATTGTCTTTCTCGTTGTGCTGCTATAACGTGTATTATAAGTACATGCATACGAGTACTGTGTACCGTTTACTGTCTCCTTGTCAGTGTTTTTGGGCGATCCTCCACACCTTCATTTGTCCATTACGTACCATTTTCCTTCTACTTATTAATTTTATAGAAATATTCACGCACTACAACTTCTTGTGATTGCTGGTGCGAATGTACCCTGCGATGCCTGCTTCTTAGTGAGAGTGCACCAGACATGTATCGATATGTATGTCTGACGAGATTTTCTTGAGCTGGCATATCAGTATCACCAAGAGTACGGTTCTTCCGTCTACGCATCTCTTCTTGGCTTGTGGATTGTTTGAAAAGAGATAAAATAATGATACAGAAATACTTGTGTCCAAGTGTCGTCATGAAAACAAGTTCTACCTCCGTAACTTTGTCCGCAAGGTCACGTGAATCTAGCTGGTAGTCCCGCTGCCAATTTGTGTGTGTGTATGTGTGAGTGTGTGTAATTTATGTGTGTGTGTGTGAGTAAGTGTGCGCGCGCGCATGTGTGAGTGTGTGTGTGTTTGTGTGCATGCGTGAGAAAGAGAGTGCGTGTGTGTGTGTGTGAGAGAGAGAGAATGTGTGTGTGTGTGTGTGCGTGTACGCGCGTGTGCGTGTATGTGAGAAAAGGGACAGAGTGTGTGTGTGTGTGTAATGGTGTGGGCATGTGTGGATTTGGCATTTCAGTCCCCAGCTCTATTCTATATCATTCACGCTGGAACTGCTGCTGCATAGCCCCAAGTCTGAAGACTTGGCAACTTCACGCCTGCACCTGACTCTTGCGCTATGATACACGTCGCCTATGATACCCCTCAGAATTTCCCACCTTACTCCCCCTTATGTTCAGGCTGCCTGTTTTGGAGCCATGAATTGCCTGACGATCGTAGTAATACGTGAAACTCAGAGCTGTGACAAAGCTTCCAATCTCTCTTGTAATACAGAAATACCTATATTCTGCCTGTGATTACTCACTGAGAAAGAGTGGTCGTAACTGTACATTCCGCATGTAACTGTTCCCTTGGAATTGTAGTGGTCACAACTGTATTCTGTGACCGCTCAAAGGGAATTATAGTTTCCACAACAAATCCTGCAGTACGAAGCACTCCGCGAGCAGTCACGAACTGTGTGCTTTACACATGTACATGTGTGGTGATTTGTGACTGGTCATGGGGCATTTGTGACGGGTCATGGGGCATTGTGACTGGTCATGGGGAGTTTGTGACTGTTTGACTGGTCACGGGGACCGTGATTGGTCATGGGGCCTTGACTGGTCACTGAGTCCTACACATATACGTCAGTACAACCTACTTCAAGTACTTGCAATCCAAGTACAATCACGGTAACTCTCCATAATCTCAGGCAATGCAACTCACAGACGTGAATGCGCCGCTGAGTACGTTTTTTTTTTCGGCTACTCAGACTACTAGCGCAGAAAGAACATAGGCTAATCTCAAGAGAGTAAAAACTATAAGCTCTGCTAAAAGGAAAGGTGAATCAAGGATATCCGATAGTATTGAAATCATGACACATACAGTACGCTTGCAAATTCGAACGATACGCAGAGAAATCGCACAAAGGTTGTAAAATCAATAAACTCGTAGAATTACAATATATTAAGCCACCAACAGTTAGGCTCTTCAGCGCAGCTGAGCAGCTCAAAACGTATACCAAAAGGGATCACGTTTCCGTGCAACAAAGCAAAGCATACACATTATAGATAGCAAATACAAACTAGCAGTGCAGTAGAGTGTGGATTTCATTACACTCTAACTTGCATTTTCAACCATTTCAGTGAGCAATTAATTCTAGCGATAATATAGCATGAAGGAAAGTGTAATTCAATCATGTCTACATCAGTTAGAATGCCAGGCAAATTCTCAAAATGCAGTAAAAAATCACAATTGGAATAGGTCTTGGAATACCAGAACAAACTTGATCAGAAACATTGCGAGCGTTCAGTAGCGTCTGCACACACCATTCACTGGTACAGCTCATTGTGGGTACATAGCAGCTCATGGCGGGTCCACCAGCAGAGTAACCTTCACAGACCCTACAGGGACAAAAGCACACACACAAAGAGACATTTGTCAATGCACTGAGTCCTGGAACAATACACGTACTAAGCCTCATGTTGACGGCTTCAAACAACATTGTATATCACGAACTTCGTTTTAACATTCTCTGAGACTATCCGTACATTTGCATACTGGTCTATCACATTGCCCAACCATGCTGCATCTCTGCCAAACTGGACAGAGAGCAGAGCATAGGATGTCTGTGTGGGGGGGGGGGGGCAGGGGTGTAGGAACCGGTCCGGCAGGTCCGAAGGCCGCCGGACAAATGTTTCGCCAAAAAAAAAAGAAAAAAGGCAGCAAGCTCGTTTTCAACCATGCGGAGGGTCAAGTCCTACTTACGCAATACAACCTGCCAGGAAAGGCTCAATCACCTGATGTTCCTGAATGTCCACAAGAAACTGCTGGACGGCTAATGCCTGAAGAGTTCCGCACGGGAATTTGTATGTGGAAGTGCGCATCAGCTCTCCCAATTCGGACAGTTTTAAGTGGAATTTTGTCAATTCAAATACACGTACTTGCTTCTGCATGCACTTCAGGAGTATACTACTGTAGTATAACCTCAAGTCTGCCATGATACCACAGTATTTGTTCATATCAATCCTTTTACAAGTAAACTCGCCCTCTTCATTCAGTAGAGACAGGGTCGAGCGAGCTGTATTCCCGGTGCCGGAAGGCGGGCTCACCACCCCTATATGGCAACTTCCCATGCCTAACCCTCAAGACAAAGTGAAAACAGTGCGTATCGGTTATAGCGTGGTCGTGTAAAAGAATATACTGCTTACAAGAATGAACTCTCATATTTTCATAATCATAACATGGGTTTCAAGTGAACATTTATTCTTATTTCGAAGTACAAGCAATTTTATCGCATAGCAGAATATATCGGTCCTAAGAATGGATTTTGTGCAGGATACGTGCCAGATTAGTACAAAGTGCATCGCCTGTAGTAATAACATCTGTCCCAAATGCAGTTCTGATCTGACTCGCGTTGTGTCGTAGTGCTGCAGGTTCAACTGTTGTGTTCATGGAACTCAGGTTGCATAGCCACATGGTAAGCAGTATGGGACTTTGACCAGCCGCATGCACAGTAGCACTACGTTGTATTTACGATGATCTTCCTGACCCTGCGCACATGCATATGATACATCACACTTGATTTATCGTGTATAAGAAATATCCGAAATAGGAATAGAAATCGTTTTTTCAAAACACGCACGCTACAACCAATACCTACTAGACTGTAGTAGTCATACTGGGCCGAGTTTAATATATATTTTTTAAATCGCGACCTGCACGAGCTAAAAAACCGCCGGACCATTGGAAATCTGCTTCCTACGCCCCTGGGGGAGAGAGAGACTATGAGAACATAATGGATGACAAAAGCCTGTTCAACATGTCCACAAATCACGCATGTACTTACCCACTTGCTCTGTATACCCCCCCCCCCCCACACACACACACACACATACCCACGAGTCTGGCCTCATCGGTGCACAAGTTTAACACTGAAGAACAGTATGCTTACAGAGGATATCTCCAGTAGCTTCAACTGGAGGAGATCAGCAAGCTCCTGGTGGGCCAGCTTCTCACTCTCTTTCAGAGCAGACACAAACTGACGGAACGCCTGCTTGCCACAGCCCGGCAGTGCTTCCAAGAAGACAGATGCCTGAGACACAACATTCCAATAAAAAGAGGTGCAGGGACAACATGTAATTCTATCCATCTGCATACAACCCATCACTTTCTCATTATGATAAGTTTGTAATCTCCTTGCCTAGTCTAGCTTTCACTCAGTAGCCGCCTGTCCAACTACATACTTGACCAGCTGTACACAACTTGGTGATGATAAGCAATTGTCACCAAAAACACATCTTCCGGGTTAAATGCTGTTCACTAGAAATTTCATTCTTTGTGTCGACGTACAGTCAACTTTGCGTATAACGATACTCGGCGGGGCATCAGAAAAGTGTCGTTATTCGCGAAGTGTCGTTATACCCGAAGTTTCATTATATGTATTCAGGTAGAATGGACTGTGTTCTGGGCATGGAAACTCTGTCGTTATTCGCGAATTGTCGTTATATCCGCAGTCGTTATTAGCGAAGTTGACTGTACTAATTTCACTGCTGAGCACAAGTGAGAGCAGTAACAAAATAGTTCATCAACACCAAAATTTCATATGGTTTCATTCTCCAGAACCTTATTTTGCCAGGAAGCCGTGATCCTGTTCACTGCAGCCTATTTATGCTTTCTGAAGAAAGATCAAGCACAAAACAAGTGCTCTACATTTTTATTTCTGTGCAAAATTGGACCTGGCCATTCGTATTCTCAAACTTTAAGTATCCTATTTGCCCTTCTCCAGATTGTTCCACAAACCTGACAGTCAAGAAGGGTAAGCAACAGCAGCACTCGCCCTTCTACAGATTATGCTGCTGATGGTGTGCTGTGGCAACGAGTCAAGGTGGGCCGAAAAGTGCACATGTGGTGAGGTGGTTGATGACAACAATAACCTGACTATCTCTGGGTCATCTGATTAACTCTATTGAACTACACTGCATGCAGCTTTGAAATTGGAGACTGTTGTAAACGGGTTGATAAACAGAACATGATTTGATTGATGCTCAGGATTATGTATCTAATATTGACTGAGTACGAGGTCAATATAGGAAATAAAAGCCGAGTAAAAGACCGAGGCGAAGGCGAGGTCTTTTACGAGGTTTTTATTTCCTATACTGACCAAGTACGAAGTCAATATTAGATTTATCACGACAAACAGTCCGTATTTCAAATTCCAGAACGATAACCTCATGAAACCCGGTTTTATGATTGCACAACCGTTGCACCACCACCTACTCATGCAGGGACAATGCTGCACTAGGCACCGTTCAACTACGCAACCCCTAAGCAGTCAAATAAAAGCAGTCAATATAGCCCTAAGGAGTGAAATATGCAGGAATATTTGACTGCTTAGGTATAGTGAAAATCAATGGGAGTCAATACTAAGAGAGTGATAATCTGTGATACTGTAAGTCTACAAATTTTCAGCCCATCGAAATTATGGCCTCCAAGGGCTAAACACACTTCGGCCGCATCAGATTTTCAGCCTGCATTGCTGCTGGCTGTATGCACTGTCACATTTAAACTTGCAACACAAAATTTCGGCTGCAACAATTTTTCGGCCAAATATGCCCAGGCCGAAAATAGCCGAAAATAAATATACGTGGAATATTGGTTGACTTACAGTAGCAGCAGTTGTCAGTTACGGGTGAGGTCACCCGCACAGGCCAGGCAAGGGACGTTTGAGTGTACATGCAAAATATCATGCTTGCGTTTAGTCTGCTGCAGTTGGTTACTTTTTGCACGAATTACCAAGTATGAAAGCTTGACATGCAAAAGAATTCTTACATTCCCCACTTCTGCAAGGATACAATCAATCGGTGCTCAATAAAAAGGTATCGACATTGAGACGGCAGTGCTGGTTCCGATTTCCAGTGTCCCTGCAAATGTTTCTTCTTTGTAAGAAAGAGAAATGCTGTGTGATACGTTGCAGTGGCTACTAGTAGTTAAATGAATACACCATAGGTAGTAATTACACATCAACACAAGCATTACCTGATCTTCACGATCATACATAGCACGGAGTTTCTTGCAGAAGCGCTTTGTGATGATGCTCTCTGCATAGAGACGGTCCAGAATGCCCTCTTCTACGTCCAAACTACACTTCAACTCCACATAGCTTGAACGCAGTACTTCCTGGTGAAGCTCAGACATCTAGTGCAGAAAATAGGCACACCAGTTGGATAATTTATTTAGCAGGGAATTCAGGCATTTTAACATCTACACCATGATAATGTGAAAATGTTCATGATGTATCTACCTTCCACATTCACTAATGCTCTCATGAGCTATGAAAAAGAAAGAATAGATGTGACTTTTCCCATCCAGCACAATACCTGGATATGTTTGCTTGCAGAGGCGTCGCACACGGTATGGTCAGTACGGTATTGACCGTACCACTATTTGCCGTAAGTACCCCGTGGATCAATAACATGCACTGATTTGGGCTCTAAATTTCCAAATATTTCGGCTCAGCCACCCCTCTCCCACAAGTACACTGTACTTCAGATGGCTGACCGTACCACACTAAATTACCTTCCGACATTGCCCCTGGCTTGGAAAACTAAAAACTAACAAAAGAGGAAAACATGCACCTGATCTCTACTGACATACAGGTGTTCACTCTTTCCCATGCAGTAGCCACAACATTGGAAATATTTAGACAACTGGCTCTCTACTAGTACTTAATACATTTTTTGAAGGACACAATAGCAAAAGTAGGGCTGCAACGGTTATGGCCTTGATCGGGTAACGAGTTCGGGCATTTCTATCTTGGTATTACGGGTACCCTATTGGGTATATTGTACATAGTACGAGTAACACGGCAATGCATGAGCGGGATCGCCACAATGCGTTCGTACAGTGAGTGTGCACTTCCGCTACATAGAGAAGTGTACAGTACGCAAGTAGCTGTACTTCTTACATGCACAGTTGTGCAAACACCGTACTCCAACTATCCAAAGGAGTTCTTAGGCGCAAACTGCTAATTGCTAATCGACAACCCGCTCAAATTACAGGTCTCGCGGGTACCATACTACCCGATGACACCTTCAAAACAAAATCAAAAATTGATCCATTCTTACCCCAGTTTGCACCTTGTCTTTCAGTGGAGAAGAAGTAGCACTTCCAGTGTCTACTTCATCCAACACTTTCCCATTGACATCAGCACTGGGAGCAGTGTGGAGATCATGGTGGTTCAGAGCACACTTTCCAGGACCGGGACAAGCCTGGAATGTTTCCACCAGCTGAGACAGACCTTGAAATGGTAGCACGCGCTCCACAAAGTAGCACATGCCTTCGTCCGACAGCTCCTCCAGCACACAGCACAGGTGATCCAAAGCCACAGTGTGTCCACTTGACTTCATCAGAGCTCTCGCTTCCTTCACACAATCATCACTGACATGACCTTCGGCTCGCAAACTCCCCATGCAGTCGACCACGTTAATGTCTTGGCAGCGCCTTACTCCCGTGTAGTGTTTGCGTAATGCTCTGTGATATGCCGTGGCCGTGGCCAGTGCCAAGTGCTCTCCTCTAGCCGATTCTACATAGAAAAAAATAAAGAAAACAACACAACGCCATAACGTTAGAAACAATCTTTGAAGTGGGGTACTACATGTACAACTGTAACAACACAAACATGAATGTTGTGGAACCCAAGCTGTGACCAACCCAATACTACATACACTCTGGTTTCAAGTACAGAGTACTAGTAACTTTGGACCTACTAGTTATGTGGATGAAATGAAGGGTGATGGAAAGAGCTAAGTTGAAAGGAGCAGAAGCAAAGAGCCAAGACGATATAGGAGACAGTATGTAATTCCTCCGTGTCATTAAAATTGTCGCTTCCCAGACCGATTTTTCGAACATATTTTGTCCACTCGAAGGGCAAAGAAATCGGCTAGAAATTGAGACAGGGCATTGTCGACGAACCAAGCTTTAGTTTGTGGCCTGCCGCTTCGCTGCACTTGCAGCTAAGGTAGACGTCTTCATCAGAGTTTGATGCAGACCCTTCAGCACTCAACAAGATGCTGAGCAAGACTTGCGTTGAAATTCAGGTCAAGAAACTTCGTTTTCAAGCTATCAATGCCTCCTGGTGGCAGGCGATGATGGCAAACTAGCATTTTTCGAGTACACTGTAATGACCTTCCAGCGGGATTCGGTAAGCAGTTCCGCAACTTCTTTCCTTGGCAAGTTTTTGAAAACATCTTGTTCATGCCATCGTCAACTTCAGCATATCGTATTCAGGAAAGATACCAGGATTCGTATAGGAGAGCTTGCAGTTTTGATAAATGCCCACGCGAACGATGTGGAACGGAATGAACTCCAGAAAAACGATTCGTGCTCTGGGGCGGAATAGTGCGGAGCATGATGAATTTGTTTGGTGCGGAAGGGAGCTCCGCCAAAGTCCGAGACCACCACTGCTTCAGTAACAAGTAGACATTGCGCAGGTTGAGTCGCACCAATGTTCGAACACAGAAAACAGCGATTCCGACACTCTGACTAAGAAGAGCAAGTCACAAACATTGCGATGTACGAAGCGACAATTTTAAGGACTCGGAGGAAGTACATTGCTTGAGTGAACCAAAGACCACAGTGCGTATGAGTGCACGAGGTGGTGAACCGGACATGTGAAAGCGATCAGATGCAACATTAGAGGAATGTGAGGTCCCAAAATAGTCAAAGGAGAGCGTTATGAAACAGGATCAGAATGCGATAGTCCTGAAGGGCAAACAGGAAATGCAAGGAGGTAGAAAGAATTCGATGGTTACTCTACATAAGTACATCGGTGGAATGTGAGATGTGAAAAGGGCTTCCAACTGGGAAGTCTGGGTAGCACCAAGATCCTAAGGCACCTCCAGGAGCAGTTCATCACATGCATAATTCTTTTGGCGTATTCCACAGTGCGTGCTCGATGAAATTCTATCGAGTTACGCAAGCAGTCATTGCACTGCACCAGGTCACAAACCAGTCACGGTTTGTAAGTCTAGGGTTGCACAACTCCCAGCACATACTTGATTCACATGATTAGATTTCATTGAGCAGCACTGTACTTTCCAGGGTATATTTTAAACTGAACACTTTACTGAAATCATCTCACCACTGTCCTTGACTGCGGGCTCCACAACTGTCATTGGCATTGCCGGCATTGGCTTCTCGGTATCAGAAAGCTCTGCGGTCTGGAGAAAATCAACGAAACACAGCAATGTGGTATGCAGACAAAGAAAATTATTTACACCAGCCAACCCCCATCCCTTTACTATAGACTTGTACAGGACTGAAAATGATGAAGTCAGAACTCAACAGATAAGCAGATAACGACTTCATGGGGATCCACTCCGGCCATAGCAAAATACATATCTGACAGGTAGGCCCTCATTGTGTCAAGTGCAGGTGTACTGAATTGGATTCAGTGCCAGAAGTTGGTCCCCACTACTGGGGGGTTGGGAGCAGTCCAGTCAGTATGGGTAGATTTGTCACCCTACGGAGAAGGAAACAACTCAAATGTGCATGGATCCATACAAAACTAGACTGCAATTGGATCGTAAATTCAGCGCTGTCATGACCCTGGCCTGGTTGTGGTATAGCATTTGCAAGCCCTATTGCATTTGTCCACATCAACTCCTTATGTTTCTATTGCTATTGTCTTGCAAGTGCAGCAAAATATACTTGTACTCATTCCGGGTATCAAGCACTACTGTGAAAAGTGAAAATTTAGGAGCAGATTTATTTTCAGTAACTTCAGTACGGGCAATTGTTACCTAAAATAAACTGAGAACTAAAATTCAACAATCCCATGCCACACAGTGTGCAAAATGCATTTCGGATGTGGAAAACTGCTTTACCGAAATTATTCGCTCTACCGAACCATTGATTTCGGGAAATACCAAAAATATTACACCACCGAAAATTCCCGGCTTCACATTATGGAGAAATGCAATCACGGGAAATCCTTTCTCAAAGATTTGGGTTTGATGGACTTTGTCATGACGGTTCAACAAAAATCATAACATAACAATAATGTGTACGTGCATGCCGGTGTCTCTCGTCACAAGGTGGTTGTCATGGAAACATCAAACCCTGAGCCAGCGAGTGCATGCTGTACTGTACAATATTGCCTACACTGGTTCGGGTTAGAGTTCAGAGTGCTTGGTGCTCGAGTTGGTAGATTCAGAAACATTTCCAGCCCAGGGAAACTGAAAATCAGAACTTGCCCTCACAGTCCTAACAGTTGCACCATTCTAACATGGCCTGGCCTTGTACATACTCTCGAGTGGGCCAGACCATACACCCAAAGCACGGGGAAAATATATTTCGAAAAACTGAATATGACCTATATTTTACCTGTGTGTCTTCGGCAAAGCATGGCCAGTATTGCCGTACATCACTGATATCCACTTCTGGACGTGCTCCACTAGGACAACGGGGACGCGATCCCTCCACCAATGGAGCAAAGTGTTGACAGCCAATCTCTACACAAGACTTCTGCTTGTGTTTGCGACACGCATCTCGGCTGAACGAGCATGGACAGCGAACAGCCCTGCCAAACTTCACGTGAGTCAGGGAGAATGCCTTCAGCTTGTCAAGCTCCGACTCCAGGTACGGTAGAAGCTCGTGACAAATCTTGACTGCAGCCGACTCATCCTTGCTTGCTGCAGTACCAACGCCAAGAGAGCCAACTGACTCATCCGTGCGAGTACCAGCATTGCTAGTAGAAGACTTAGCTGTGCCAGCTGCGACAGGAATCTCAAGTGACAGGCGAATGCCATGCTGGAAATACTGCATGACAAGCCAGAAGCGATCCTTCACCAGAATACGTGCTGACGTGTGATAGAGGATTGGATCCACCTTTGGACTGTAGCGTTGCATACACCTCACAACACCACACCAGAACAGGGTTTGTGGAAAGTAACGATCTGCACCACTGTACAAGTACATTGCTGGGCATGGCTTGCCTTTGCTCGCTTCATCTTGAAGACGTGCAACTCGTTCCACCAGAGCTGGTACAAAGAACTTGCGAGTCGTCACCTCCTTCCTCTGACCAGGTACATTCACAGTTGTCTTGGTGTTGTAGAACAGGGCAAAGTGCTCACCCATCTCGAACAGGAAATCACGCTGTTCTTCCGTGGCCGTGTAGCGCGATGTCATACGATTGTGCTGCGACCAGCGGTGGATGGCAAGACTTTCCAGGAGGATGCCATTCTGTGTCAGCAAGTCGTACTGTGGACGAAGACGCTTGCTCTGCTTACTCTTCGGTTCAGGACAAAAGAGAAGTGACATGGTTTTCAGAATCCAGTGGATGTCGATGATGACACGATCACGAAGACGGGCATTGTGAATAAAGTGAAGCAAATGACCAAGATCATGGTGGAACTTCACCATCTTCTGGAAATCTGACTCAGGATCATCACTGGAGATGCTACCAACAGCAATAGCCAAGCGACGTAGCTCGTCAACCGATACCCATGGTCGTTCGAATGATTTTGCAATGTGCCCTATGGAGATGGTTACAGGAAGCCAACGAAGTGGAATAGGAACGCTGAACTGATGCTGCAGCTGCTGGATGATGTCTTGCCGTAGTTGAACAACTGCTGGGTCTTCCGGATCCTTGCCAGCTCGTGTGTTGTCCACAAATACCACCTTGTCGATGTTGTTAGCATAAGCTTTACCCTCCGCATTGGCCCAGATATACTGCTCAGTCTCTTCAATTGCCTTCTTCCTTGCTTCTGGCTTCTTTGGTAACTTGTCCACATGTGTGCCAATGGCAAACACGGGTACGTTGTCGCTGTCTCCAATGACCTCGTGGATAGCGTTGAACCATGTCTCCATGACGTCGAAGTTGGTCTGCTCCAGGCTGTTGGAAAGCGGCAGTTCCTCACCGTCTACACCAAACGTCGGCTTCGCTCTGTCCTGGAGCTTCTTTGAGGAATCAAATACAACAGCATATGCACATCGATCACAGGCCAGGACCATGTGTTGGATCGCAGCAAACAGCTTCTGACCAGCAAAGTCCCAGACATCTATGAATGTCAGGTTCTTCAGATGCTCTGCAGTGAAAACTTCACTTTTGCCCTTCTTCAGATCTTCAATGAAGCCTTCAAACTTCTGCGTTGCTGAGTTGATTTCCGTCTGTAGCTGCTGCACATCTTGCTCTGCTGTTGCTACCTGTTGTACACTCATGGTTGAGACCTCCTCCGGCTCGGATGCAGTGGAAACATTCTGAGAGTCCATGGTGTCAGATGAACTGGTAGCTGATTGACCAGAGTACCCGGTGTGGGTGGCTTCATCCTGTTGGCTGACAGCAGATTCACACACACTGGCTGCATCTGCTTGCTCAGTCTCAATCACAGCGGATGGTGATGTCACGGGTGTTGATGGCATGGAGGATGTGGACCTGGTGTTCTTTGGGATCTCCACACCTTGTTGTCTCAGTGCTGCTACTATCTCTTTCTTCCTTTGTTCTTGTCCAACAGCTCTGTGCGTCAGGGCCAACTGCTGCTGGTAAGAATCTTCAGCTTGCTTCCAGACATACTTTAACCCTTGCTTCTCGATCGTGCATATCACCTTCTCCAGCTCCACACCGATGGTACTATCGACCTTTGACATGAATGCTTGACGCAGGAGGGATCGCAGGAAGCTGCTCTTGCCTGTGCGGCCCGGCCCGCACATTATCAGGCGCCCGTACGGTATCAGCTGGACACCTTCCTTGATCAGCTCACTTAGTGCTGCTGCGTACTGGCCATTATCAGCTGCACAATACACATACACCAGAACAAAGCACGATACACGTGATGTAGATATGAGGAAGAATATATTGAAGAAAATGGGAAGGATGTTCAAGATGTATTGGGTTTAGCTAGTCTAAAACATCCAGAATAATCCTATTTCAGCCCCAGAATTCCAACATGAACAGATTAGCAGGACCATTTGAGCACAAGACTTTCTTTGGAATGTAACTGACTGCTGTGAATTTGAGCAAATGAAACCTTAGAAGAGGATGGTATGAGCCTTATGCACATTGTACAGATGCACGAAATCCCGTAGGATCTCGTAGAATCCTGTAGACCCGGTTGGGTGTTGAATGTGCAGGACCCTGTTGTGTTTACTGCTATTTCCACTAAGAAATGGGCCCTGAAGGCATTTCTTACGAACCCCTTTTTCTGACAAAGATCTAGCTAGTAATTAGTTCTAACCAAAGTGAAGAAACTGTAAAAGCGATTGTTTGCCATAAAAAAATGAGGCTAACATTGGTCAAATGCGTATGTATAGCACACAATGAACACCCGAACGGGTCTGTACACACCTACGACCTTAGTACAGAACTTCATACATCTGCACAACGTGCATATCGTCTCAGTACTGAACCTCTTGAAGTTGGACCACTTTCTCTGCACGCTACGTATCCGGGTCATGCACTGAGTGCCAGTGCAAAACATTTCCATAGCAATTCTTATCCTAGCACTGTTCAAACCAGTGTCTGCCAATCATGTGACACGTCTGCTGAAATCACACGCTCTGCGACATTTCTCAGGTCTATAATTTGATTATGTGAAGCATTCCTCCCTTTCATACCGACATTGTCTCACCACAGCAGAAAAGTAAGCAAGTCAAATCAAAACTGAGTTCTTTCACAGCTCCAGTTACCATGGAAAGGTCGTCTCCATGCCGACATGACATGTCAACACCTCATACATCTACCATAGCTGATCAACTGGTATCCTGTAGGCTAGGTGTTCGTTGCATAGCATACTGTCTTTGTGACTCTGTGAGTGTGTGCGTGACCACATACACCCCAGTACATCTCGACTACCACGTGTACATGCACACTGCAGCTATAGTCAGTATAACTACAGTGACACCTGTCTAAGGCGACCCCTCAAGGGACGAGAGAAAATGGTCGCCTTAGACAGGTGGTCTTCTTCTCCAAGTTCAGTGGGTCACGTGACATCCACGTCATAATACATGTGATATATCATTTTGATCAGTGTATCACACTGCACACACCTATGCTACTCTCGCACGACTCATGTGCCTGGAGTCCTCAGACCTGTCAACTGTCGTGCATGCACCATGCACATCTACACTTCCTGCACTGATGTGTAGATCTACCATGCATGGTACACCATGCAATGCATACATTTACATGTACTAGCAATGTGCAACGCGGTCGCGGGTGGATGGTCGTCGGTCGCGTTGAGCGAGTGGTCGCCTTATCTGGGCTGTTTTGAATGTGAATGCGTCCGTGACAAGGAAAGGTGGTCGCCATGGTCGAGTGGTCGCCATATCCGAGTGGTCGCCATTACAGGTTTGATTGTACATAGCACATACTGTGCAGCACTAAATACAACTGACTACATGTAGTACTCGGTATACTAGTCTACTGGCAACAACCGTGGGTCCAGACAGAACAGTACCAATAAAGGGCACATATGCATACCCTGGTCTACTCCAAGTCAACTCCGTGAGTTATGTGCACAGTGAATGTACAAGTGCATGTAAAATTGCATGATCCTTTGAGATTTTCACTGCTTTTTGGATGAATTGGGCAGACTACATCGGACGAAAAGTAGTACGACCATGGTCTCACCGGTCCGTCGGGTATGATGAAGTGTGGGATGCCCCTGAGTGTAACACATAAATTACACTGATCACTGCCGAATCAGGTTTTGCTAACTTAACCACACGCTTTTATGTCTCGCTGGGGTATATTGTGCTGACTGTGTGGACACTGATTTCCACCGCGCTCTAATTCTCAGTGGGATTTACTGTCAGGCTGAGATTTTCCTCAACTCCGTGGACGCTAAAATTTCGCCGGGCTGAGAAAGGTAGTACAAATGTACAGGTCTCTGTGAAGCTTGCGCTGGAATACTAACGCTGAAAGGCTCGTACTGACAAACTTTGAGCATTGTACATTTATTTCCCTAAATAGGTTCTTGAATTAATGGATGACCACTACATGTACAATACTAACCTTCAGCTGTATTGCCCGGTCCTTCTCTCACTGCAGTCACACCTTCATCGCTCACCATTGATATTGAGGTACCTCCTGCATATGAAAATGAGATCACAAGAATCACAAAAGAATTCTCTACGAGTATTGCTTGGATTGTTGGTACATAAAGTTTAGGAAATTGACATTTTGACATTACTTAACAATATGCTGGTGATTTCCACAAACATGACAGGCAGGTTTTAGCCTACTTTACAATGCTATGAAATAGAGTTTGCGAAATGGGCGATAATTTCATCAGCACGTGGGTTGCTCCCAACACTGAAGCTCACGTTTTTCCCGCCGACTTCGAAGGTTCGATGGACTTTTCTGTGCTCTAGATGGAGGTCGTGAGTCAGTCAAGTGTCAAGTTAAGTCACCGGGGAAAGGGCAATCAAGTATGGATGATTTCAACACTTTTCCCGTTTGCATCTTTCCCTCAAACCAATAAAGAATGGTGGGTACGGACGATTTGCACAGAATTCCTCATTTTCATTATAATGGAAACCAAGGCTAAAAAATAACTTTTATAAACTAGACAAATTGGAACTCCATGTGCGACAGTGAATCGCGCTGCTGCCTGGTGATCGCGAGGTGTTTGTTGCGCTGGAAGCGAAGCGTCACTGTAAGTTGATATCCCTAGTAATGTTTTGCCTCGGAGAGTACTACCGTATAATGCAGTGAGTGCTCTCGGAGAGTACTACCGTATAATGCAGTGAGTGCTCTCGGAGAGTACTACCGTATAATGCAGTGAGTGCTCTCGGAGAGTACTACCGTATAATGCAGTGAGTGCTCTCGGAGAGTACTACCGTATAATGCAGTGAGTGCTCTCGGAGAGTACTACCGTATAATGCAGTGAGTGCTCTCGGAGAGTACTACCGTATAATGCAGTGAGTGCTCTCGGAGAGTACTACCGTATAATGCAGTGAGTGCTCTCGGAGAGTACTACCGTATAATGCAGTGAGTGCTCTCGGAGAGTACTACCGTATAATGCAGTGAGTGCTCTCGGAGAGTACTACCGTATAATGCAGTGAGTGCTCTCGGAGAGTACTACCGTATAATGCAGTGAGTGCTCTCGGAGAGTACTACCGTATAATGCAGTGAGTGCTCTCGGAGAGTACTACCGTATAATGCAGTGAGTGCTCTCGGAGAGTACTACCGTATAATGCAGTGAGTGCTCTCGGAGAGTACTACCGTATAATGCAGTGAGTGCTCTCGGAGAGTACTACCGTATAATGCAGTGAGTGCTCTCGGAGAGTACTACCGTATAATGCAGTGAGTGCTCTCGGAGAGTACTACCGTATAATGCAGTGAGTGCTCTCGGAGAGTACTACCGTATAATGCAGTGAGTGCTCTCGGAGAGTACTACCGTATAATGCAGTGAGTGCTCTCGGAGAGTACTACCGTATAATGCAGTGAGTGCTCTCGGAGAGTACTACCGTATAATGCAGTGAGTGCTCTCGGAGAGTACTACCGTATAATGCAGTGAGTGCTCTCGGAGAGTACTACCGTATAATGCAGTGAGTGCTCTCGGAGAGTACTACCGTATAATGCAGTGAGTGCTCTCGGAGAGTACTACCGTATAATGCAGTGAGTGCTCTCGGAGAGTACTACCGTATAATGCAGTGAGTGCTCTCGGAGAGTACTACCGTATAATGCAGTGAGTGCTCTCGGAGAGTACTACCGTATAATGCAGTGAGTGCTCTCGGAGAGTACTACCGTATAATGCAGTGAGTGCTCTCGGAGAGTACTACCGTATAATGCAGTGAGTGCTCTCGGAGAGTACTACCGTATAATGCAGTGAGTGCTCTCGGAGAGTACTACCGTATAATGCAGTGAGTGCTCTCGGAGAGTACTACCGTATAATGCAGTGAGTGCTCTCGGAGAGTACTACCGTATAATGCAGTGAGTGCTCTCGGAGAGTACTACCGTATAATGCAGTGAGTGCTCTCGGAGAGTACTACCGTATAATGCAGTGAGTGCTCTCGGAGAGTACTACCGTATAATGCAGTGAGTGCTCTCGGAGAGTACTACCGTATAATGCAGTGAGTGCTCTCGGAGAGTACTACCGTATAATGCAGTGAGTGCTCTCGGAGAGTACTACCGTATAATGCAGTGAGTGCTCTCGGAGAGTACTACCGTATAATGCAGTGAGTGCTCTCGGAGAGTACTACCGTATAATGCAGTGAGTGCTCTCGGAGAGTACTACCGTATAATGCAGTGAGTGCTCTCGGAGAGTACTACCGTATAATGCAGTGAGTGCTCTCGGAGAGTACTACCGTATAATGCAGTGAGTGCTCTCGGAGAGTACTACCGTATAATGCAGTGAGTGCTCTCGGAGAGTACTACCGTATAATGCAGTGAGTGCTCTCGGAGAGTACTACCGTATAATGCAGTGAGTGCTCTCGGAGAGTACTACCGTATAATGCAGTGAGTGCTCTCGGAGAGTACTACCGTATAATGCAGTGAGTGCTCTCGGAGAGTACTACCGTATAATGCAGTGAGTGCTCTCGGAGAGTACTACCGTATAATGCAGTGAGTGCTCTCGGAGAGTACTACCGTATAATGCAGTGAGTGCTCTCGGAGAGTACTACCGTATAATGCAGTGAGTGCTCTCGGAGAGTACTACCGTATAATGCAGTGAGTGCTCTCGGAGAGTACTACCGTATAATGCAGTGAGTGCTCTCGGAGAGTACTACCGTATAATGCAGTGAGTGCTCTCGGAGAGTACTACCGTATAATGCAGTGAGTGCTCTCGGAGAGTACTACCGTATAATGCAGTGAGTGCTCTCGGAGAGTACTACCGTATAATGCAGTGAGTGCTCTCGGAGAGTACTACCGTATAATGCAGTGAGTGCTCTCGGAGAGTACTACCGTATAATGCAGTGAGTGCTCTCGGAGAGTACTACCGTATAATGCAGTGAGTGCTCTCGGAGAGTACTACCGTATAATGCAGTGAGTGCTCTCGGAGAGTACTACCGTATAATGCAGTGAGTGCTCTCGGAGAGTACTACCGTATAATGCAGTGAGTGCTCTCGGAGAGTACTACCGTATAATGCAGTGAGTGCTCTCGGAGAGTACTACCGTATAATGCAGTGAGTGCTCTCGGAGAGTACTACCGTATAATGCAGTGAGTGCTCTCGGAGAGTACTACCGTATAATGCAGTGAGTGCTCTCGGAGAGTACTACCGTATAATGCAGTGAGTGCTCTCGGAGAGTACTACCGTATAATGCAGTGAGTGCTCTCGGAGAGTACTACCGTATAATGCAGTGAGTGCTCTCGGAGAGTACTACCGTATAATGCAGTGAGTGCTCTCGGAGAGTACTACCGTATAATGCAGTGAGTGCTCTCGGAGAGTACTACCGTATAATGCAGTGAGTGCTCTCGGAGAGTACTACCGTATAATGCAGTGAGTGCTCTCGGAGAGTACTACCGTATAATGCAGTGAGTGCTCTCGGAGAGTACTACCGTATAATGCAGTGAGTGCTCTCGGAGAGTACTACCGTATAATGCAGTGAGTGCTCTCGGAGAGTACTACCGTATAATGCAGTGAGTGCTCTCGGAGAGTACTACCGTATAATGCAGTGAGTGCTCTCGGAGAGTACTACCGTATAATGCAGTGAGTGCTCTCGGAGAGTACTACCGTATAATGCAGTGAGTGCTCTCGGAGAGTACTACCGTATAATGCAGTGAGTGCTCTCGGAGAGTACTACCGTATAATGCAGTGAGTGCTCTCGGAGAGTACTACCGTATAATGCAGTGAGTGCTCTCGGAGAGTACTACCGTATAATGCAGTGAGTGCTCTCGGAGAGTACTACCGTATAATGCAGTGAGTGCTCTCGGAGAGTACTACCGTATAATGCAGTGAGTGCTCTCGGAGAGTACTACCGTATAATGCAGTGAGTGCTCTCGGAGAGTACTACCGTATAATGCAGTGAGTGCTCTCGGAGAGTACTACCGTATAATGCAGTGAGTGCTCTCGGAGAGTACTACCGTATAATGCAGTGAGTGCTCTCGGAGAGTACTACCGTATAATGCAGTGAGTGCTCTCGGAGAGTACTACCGTATAATGCAGTGAGTGCTCTCGGAGAGTACTACCGTATAATGCAGTGAGTGCTCTCGGAGAGTACTACCGTATAATGCAGTGAGTGCTCTCGGAGAGTACTACCGTATAATGCAGTGAGTGCTCTCGGAGAGTACTACCGTATAATGCAGTGAGTGCTCTCGGAGAGTACTACCGTATAATGCAGTGAGTGCTCTCGGAGAGTACTACCGTATAATGCAGTGAGTGCTCTCGGAGAGTACTACCGTATAATGCAGTGAGTGCTCTCGGAGAGTACTACCGTATAATGCAGTGAGTGCTCTCGGAGAGTACTACCGTATAATGCAGTGAGTGCTCTCGGAGAGTACTACCGTATAATGCAGTGAGTGCTCTCGGAGAGTACTACCGTATAATGCAGTGAGTGCTCTCGGAGAGTACTACCGTATAATGCAGTGAGTGCTCTCGGAGAGTACTACCGTATAATGCAGTGAGTGCTCTCGGAGAGTACTACCGTATAATGCAGTGAGTGCTCTCGGAGAGTACTACCGTATAATGCAGTGAGTGCTCTCGGAGAGTACTACCGTATAATGCAGTGAGTGCTCTCGGAGAGTACTACCGTATAATGCAGTGAGTGCTCTCGGAGAGTACTACCGTATAATGCAGTGAGTGCTCTCGGAGAGTACTACCGTATAATGCAGTGAGTGCTCTCGGAGAGTACTACCGTATAATGCAGTGAGTGCTCTCGGAGAGTACTACCGTATAATGCAGTGAGTGCTCTCGGAGAGTACTACCGTATAATGCAGTGAGTGCTCTCGGAGAGTACTACCGTATAATGCAGTGAGTGCTCTCGGAGAGTACTACCGTATAATGCAGTGAGTGCTCTCGGAGAGTACTACCGTATAATGCAGTGAGTGCTCTCGGAGAGTACTACCGTATAATGCAGTGAGTGCTCTCGGAGAGTACTACCGTATAATGCAGTGAGTGCTCTCGGAGAGTACTACCGTATAATGCAGTGAGTGCTCTCGGAGAGTACTACCGTATAATGCAGTGAGTGCTCTCGGAGAGTACTACCGTATAATGCAGTGAGTGCTCTCGGAGAGTACTACCGTATAATGCAGTGAGTGCTCTCGGAGAGTACTACCGTATAATGCAGTGAGTGCTCTCGGAGAGTACTACCGTATAATGCAGTGAGTGCTCTCGGAGAGTACTACCGTATAATGCAGTGAGTGCTCTCGGAGAGTACTACCGTATAATGCAGTGAGTGCTCTCGGAGAGTACTACCGTATAATGCAGTGAGTGCTCTCGGAGAGTACTACCGTATAATGCAGTGAGTGCTCTCGGAGAGTACTACCGTATAATGCAGTGAGTGCTCTCGGAGAGTACTACCGTATAATGCAGTGAGTGCTCTCGGAGAGTACTACCGTATAATGCAGTGAGTGCTCTCGGAGAGTACTACCGTATAATGCAGTGAGTGCTCTCGGAGAGTACTACCGTATAATGCAGTGAGTGCTCTCGGAGAGTACTACCGTATAATGCAGTGAGTGCTCTCGGAGAGTACTACCGTATAATGCAGTGAGTGCTCTCGGAGAGTACTACCGTATAATGCAGTGAGTGCTCTCGGAGAGTACTACCGTATAATGCAGTGAGTGCTCTCGGACCGTATAATGCAGTGAGTGCTCTCGGAGAGTACTACCGTATAATGCAGTGAGTGCTCTCGGAGAGTACTACCGTATAATGCAGTGAGTGCTCTCGGAGAGTACTACCGTATAATGCAGTGAGTGCTCTCGGAGAGTACTACCGTATAATGCAGTGAGTGCTCTCGGAGAGTACTACCGTATAATGCAGTGAGTGCTCTCGGAGAGTACTACCGTATAATGCAGTGCTCTCGGAGCAGAAATTTCATTATTAGCCTACTCAAGCTCAACTGATGAGGGGTGAATTCCCCGAAACACTATGTATTGAGCAGGGAGTGGTGCTGTCTTGCAGGTTTGCCGAGTGGAAGGTTCGAAAGGCTTTTCGTGTGCTCCAGAAGCAGTCGTGAGTCAGTCAAGTGTCAAGTCAGTCTGCAGGGAGCCGCGTGAGCTCCGACGTTCGGAGCAGACACTTTCTTCACTAATCATCGCCGATGTTGCAACATCTTTCGTACAAATTGGAACACAGCAAATATTATTTAAAACATTTCTGCTGGTATAAGACAACTGTATTTTCATATAAACTTCAGCTGGTATGCACACTAAGACAAAGACCAGCATCATCCATTGACTAAGAATCATTATCATGGCCATTCTTCAACTTGCATCGCAGTCTTCAAAATTAATTATCACTTACTATCGCTCTGTAAATCAATAGCCAAATTCAACAGTTGGACAAGACTACTCCCATCACATCCTGCCTCACGGTCGATCTTGATCAGGAAATCTTTATCCAGTCGTTGAGTGAGATCAGGACGGTGCAAGTGATAAAAGAGAAACAGAAAGCTGTCTGCTGGGTACAGTAAAGACGCCCCAATTGCTGCTTGACAGCAAAGTGGAAGATCACGCACATGACCGGCCACCTCACATGCCGTTCGATAAGTGCTGATACACTCTTCATCCAGGGTGACTGTTCTAAATACTTCAGTGAGCACTATATCTGGTACGGTCGCTAGTTTGGCGATGATCTGTGGTAAGTTGCTCTTGAGAACCGTTGTGAAGAAATCTACAGACAGCGAATAATACACAAGAAAAACAGGACACATTGTTGTAACCACTATGTCTGGTCCAATAGTGTGTGTGTTTTTCGTGTGTGTGTGTGTGTGTGTGTGTGTGTGTTTGTGTACCGTAACGTCCGCTGCAAATGCCAACCGCATTGTGCAAGATCTGCTGGCCTGTACGCACTGTTCCCGTCCACACACCACGTCATTTACTCTTCTCTGCGTGCTTGTGCGCTTATGAACTCTTTGTGTTCCCTCTGTTGACGCTTCAAAATCGCTCTATTGACACTGCAAAATCGCTCTGTTGACGCTACAAAATTGCTCTGCGTGCTTGTGCGCTTATGAACTCTTTGTGTTCCCTCTGTTGACGCTTCAAAATCGCTCTATTGACACTGCAAAATCGCTCTGTTGACGCTACAAAATTGCTTATCATCTCCCTCCCTCCCTCCCTCCCCCCCCCCCTCTCTCTCTCTCTCTCTCTCTCTCTCTCTCTCTCTCTCCCCGTCGCTCTCTCCCTTTTGAAATTCGCTTCCATAGAATTGGGCACCATTGCCCGTTTGGCCTTGCGAAGCAAAATAAAAATCAACAACAAACAAAAACTGACCCCATGCACTGTCACTCCCACTGTACAAAAGTGCATCTGACACCGTGGCGCGAAGAGCGCTTTACTACGGTTAACAATGTCCACTTTCCTGGTTTCAAAAGCTCTTTGGGCACTACCTACGAGCTAGCTCGTAGTGATTTTAATTTTATGATGTTGTTTGTTGTGTTTCGCAAATCCAAATGGGTTTTTCTTCCGAATAACAAGGTAGCAAAAAGCAGAGTATTGCAGGAACCAAATATACTTCTGATGGTGTTTCAAGCCATCATTTCCAAATCACGCAACACGCAAAGGCAAGGGTTTTTCTCGAGCACTTCAGAGTTTTCAACAAGTTGGTAGCGACTTTGTAGGTGTAGCTTTTGTGGCATCTCCCCTGTTCGACTTGCAACTGGAATACTGCGACCGGTCAAGTCGTCGAACGACGCTTCATCAGGACAATCACCGTTCCGTTCTGAAAGCGCAACATCGTCACATTCATGGCACTGCAGAAATTTCATGATTTGAAAACCGAAATAATGGAGAACGAACTTTTAGGAAACTTCACTTCTCAACTCCAAACTCCAAAAACGGTCTCTTCACTGCAATTCAAATTCAAATTTACATTTACATTACTGTACACCAAATTTCCGGGCCTGGCTCACCCTCAGGAGAACGAACTACAATAACAAAGACGACTCATTTATCGAATGCATAGGAAATCCCGACCGAAGTTTTTCTTTGCAGCAAGATAATGACAATCGCTTTTGCACAGGATCCTGGTAAGACATAGACAGTGTGTTGGCATTACAGTCGTTCTTGTACACATTCGACCTTCATGCCAGTTTTCTACAACTACATTGACCTGAAAAAGACGAAAATGGGATGGACCCGCTGGGGTGAGCGTTTGCTGCGAAGTGGGCGCTTGCAGCGGACTTTACGTATACACGTATGTGTGTGCGTGAGTTTTTGTGTGCGTGTGTGTGTATGTTACTTCAGAACTCACACCGACACAAATAAAATACTTAGTACTTCATCCACGGAGTGACTTTGCGTTTCGCTTCGTGTTTCTCTTAAAAATCTAGCAAAATTGAGTCGTTCGCATGAAAACGCCTGGTTACGTCAGCGAAACCTGCTGATTTCCCCCATTTTCAAGCGCTCAACGGCGCAAAAACTGTGAAATCACGTCAAAGAAATAGTGTTCGACGAGCGAACAAACCTCCTCGCACCGGCGTTGGTGCACAGCTTCGGGGCAGCCAAGTTCTCAAATCATCTTCTAGAGACCCTTACCTACATCTGTTTGAAGTTTCAAGTCCTCCCTCTGAAGTGGCATACCCCGAAAATAAAAATCATCTTACAGATTTCGGCTCCCCGACTATAAGGGCCAAACGCTGCATCACAGCCTTTTCGGACCAAAACCAGTTGACTCAGCGTCCAAACGACTACAACATATGGGCCAATCGCGGTCATCTGTGCTTTTATAAGAACGAAATGGCGCTTTTAGTGACATTTTTGCATATAAATCCCCATCTAGTAGGGCGCAGTTCGATTGGCAATAAAGGAGGAAGGGAGCGTCTCAACTTCCTCGGACCAAGACCGTTCGACTCAGCACCCCGAAGACTACATCTGGAGGGTTTACTTCCCCTTTATACGTGGCAGGCAGGCATAGTGGGATGGTCCAAGACCATGATTGAGAAACAGAGGGTACCAGGTTTAAGTCCTGCTTGGAAGCGGAAGGAATTTTTCCAGCCGTGCTGCGACCCACAGTTAATTGGGAACTCGTGGCCTGGCACGAGGGTAACATGCATGCAGTTAATGGGATTTCGGTATTTGACCACTTTGTGGTGGGTCTGATCTACTCACCTCCCACCGTTTAGGCTCTGCACCTGAGCCTTGATCCTAGAGGGTGGTGGCGTTCCCACGGCGGATGCGGAAAACTCGGCTTTCAGCCGAGTCTCACGCAAACTGTGAATTTTTTCCCCTTTATGTGATGCGTTCTTCAATGTACAGCACTGCTCATACTGCCTTCATTTATATTGTATGTATGAATGTGTAACATATGTACTTATGCTATGATATTCATACATTACTCACAGCATAGATATTCTTTGACTGGAATTCCGAACTTTTCCGTTTGAGAAATTTTTTTTCCTTGAAATTAATCCTTGCTGGGGTTTTTTCATCTAAATGTCCCGCTATTATCTGCAGAGGTGATTTCTTCCATCGTCGATTTCTTTCCTGCTTTTATACCTCGATATTTAGGTACTTGTTTCCCTTCTTCCCATGCTTCATCTTCCACTCTCCTCTCCCCCATTTCCCCATTTTTCTTGCGATATTTATGTGGGAGACTTCCGTGATAAGCATCAATTTGCTTTTGGAGAATCCCTTTAAATAAATACAATACAATACAATAGGGCTTGAAAGTGCTACGTCACAACATAGCAACAATTTCAAAAATTCAAAAACTGGATCCACTTGGATCCAGTTTTTGCATGGATCCAAGCACATTTCAAGCGGTCTTACCCACAGCATGGTGATGTAGCCAGTGAAACTGACTGATTTGGCTACTGGGGGCGGGGTTACAACTGGTGGCGAAATAAAAGTCACACCTGCATGCGACATGAGTGGGTTGCTATGCACCCACATACTTAAGCAATAGCAAAGTCACACCGAAAGTGGATCCAAAAATAGAAATCTGATGTCAACTTACTACTCCCTGGCCGTTTTGACGTCATCACTTTCAAGCCCTATACAATACAGTATACAGATCACGATGCAAACGCACTACTGTACTCACTATTTCATATTTACTGCTTCTTGTTCTGTAAAGATTTTCAATCCACCATAGAACAGAGCATGCTCCAGTGGTTCTTGTCTTTCAATACTTTATCTCATATTGATACTCATGAAACTACAATACCCTCTTCTGAAAGGGCTTGGGACAATCTTTTACACAGGGCACATGAAAAATGTAGTGGAGCAATACCATGTGTATGAAGTACGGATTTTATATACAGTCAAATCTATCGTAAGCGACCGCCCCTTGGTGCAAGAAAAAGCGGTCTCTTACGGCAGATGGTCTCTTACGGCAGATGTATGGTAAATCCGGCATACCGGGCATGCATATATGCTTCCATGTACTCAAAAGTCTCAAATCGACGAGAATGTGATATAAAAAATCATTTTATTGGATATTCAATAGAATATAGGGGTGCCAGGGTCAGTCGATCGCACTTGCAAGACAGCGCATTTTCACACCTTGCAGTTGACAGCGCACTGGCAAGTACAGTTTCGCACCTGACTGAACCTGGGTCGCGGTCGCTTACAGCAGATTTGAATGCAGCCACCGTGCATGAAATCGCGGTCGCTGGTCGCGCACAGCAGATGGTCGCTCTGGACAGATCAGTTTGTATGGGAAACCGTCGGTGCACGGAAAATCGGTCGCTAACGGTAGATGGTCCCCTACAGCAGAGGTCACTTACGGCAGATTTGACTGTACATGCCATGCAAATTGCGAGTTGCACTACTCCCTGCTAACTGCTAACCTGGGTGCAAGTGTAAGAACTAACTTGATGGCAATCTTTTACTCACAAGGATCCTTGACATCTTCATCAGGATGATCATTCTTGCGAGCTTGCCAAATTCTCTCCAGCACTCCACCAACAACACCATTGGACAGGACAGTTGAAGACTGGATGTCTTGAAGGAAGTTCTGGACACCTGATGGTCCTCTCTTGTAGGTAATAACACAGGCAACATATGCGGCTAACCTACTAGTATCCTTTTCTGACCTCCTTTCGTTGGTTTTAATAACCTCCTTCCAAGCCATCACATGTCCCCTCAGTATGGGATCTCTACTGATACGTGGATGATGTTCATCAGTTGCCATGACAGATTTCTTGAATGCTTCATGCGTAATCTGGCATTGAGCTATGTCATGCCATGCTGGCAGGACAACATCATCCCAGAAGTCAAACGGCATCGTTCTAAACAAGAAGTTATATAAAACACAAACCGTGAAAACAAACAAACTTTGAAACAGAATCTTTCTTTTCTGATAGTGGATGAATTTGCTGAAAGAGAATTCAAGTATGAATGACAATACAACAGAAGACCGGCTGTACAGTGTCACACAATACAGGTACATGTATACACATATTATTATGCTAACACCCCTCCCCCCCCCCCCCACACACACACACAGCATAGAGATGATTGACCCATGTGTATGGAGACAAATACTGCCATGCACCACATACACCATACCGCCACTCCTTACACTGTCACTGCTGGTTCTCCATAGCCACATACGAGTATTATGTAAAACTCACATAATTCATTTTTGGTTAACTGAACACACTTCACCTACAACACAGTCCTCTGTTCTACACCACTACTGTTCATATGTACACACAATCATTTCACTAGATCATGGGTAAAAGATATTCATGGTTCAAGTGATACTGAGTTTGACTGAGTTTTGAGAATCCGCAGGAACTCCACCACCCTCTATGGATCAAGGGTGCAGATGCAAATTTTAAAGTGATGGGACGTGAGTTCACTGATCAGACCCACAACCAAAGAGGTCAAAATCAGAAAATCCCATTCGCTGCATTCATGGTGAACTATCATTCTATGTTAACGCTCTGTGAATGACAAGAGGCAGGAGCCTCAGAAGGTATTTTAAGGTGGTACGGTCAGCCATCTGAAGTACAATTTACTCGTGGGGTTGGGGTGGTTCCTATGAAAATTTCGAAATTTAGACCTCAGATCAGTGTGTTTTATTGATTCACAGGGTACCCGGGATGAAGAGTGGTACGGTCAATACCATAGTGACCGTAGCATGTCCGACGCCCTGCAAGAGGTTCATGTATAAGGTTTCGTTAAATATTAAAATAGAGACGGATATACAAGTACTTCAGTACAGGGGAAGTATGCATCAGTTTGAGGACAGTGTTGAGGTTCAATGTTCTGGGCATGTGAAGTTGAATACTCTTCTCAAGCATGACGTGAACAGAACTGCGATGACCCATGTGAAGCGCAATCAATATAATTATTCTTTTGCCTTTGTCATTTCCCTATGATCTCTGCACCACTGTTCTAGTACGTTCCATAGAGTGAATTTGACTTGCAATACAACTACATGTAGGTATCGGTAACACGGGTTTTCTTCACGTCTTGAAAATCTAAATCAATTCTCCACATAGGATACTCCAACCCATCTTGCCAGCCTGGCAATAACTGACTGTACTGCTTGAAGGTTTCAAGGTCTACCCCTCTTAGTCATGTGACATTTGTACAGAGTGTCTACATGCACAGAACGTCCTTACCGTAAATACTGGATAGCTGCAGATACAGTGCAGCTTCGGTTTTCCAGCACAAGTCGCACTAGTGGCTTATCATCAACACATCACGCTGACTCGATCGAGAGAAAACAACGCAACGATGTTACCGTTGTCGTTTAGACCTCGTTGTCACCGACGGACACACGAACCGACAATGATTTTTTTCGATGATACTGAACAGGTCTACTTTATCTGGTTCTGGGACAAGGGTATGCTGCCCAGGAGACTACAGTGTACAAAAGTGCTATCAAACACAATGGTCCTGTACCTTTTCTTCGCAGATGAGCGGACCGGTAACAACTGCGTCTTCACCAAACACACAAACACACATACCGACGCAGGTGCAGTGCAGATATAGATGCTACGGGAACAGCTACATGTATGATGATTTCCGTAGTGGCCGGCTTGGGTCGTTGGTATGGTGGCTGTCCGCGTCCCGGTGGATCGATCCGAAGGTCGTTACGGACAGAGCCGGTTTGGCGCCTTCATTTTGGCCTGGGGGGGGGGTGCATTCATTGCATAGGCCGCGTGAGACTGAGATTCGCAGTCTCTGCATTCTCAAGTAACAATGGTAACTAGGCGGGGTAAGGACAATCGTTGCTATGGTGAATCATGTATTGTGAAAATGACACGAAAAAGGAACCAACACTGCAACAGTGAACACTTGCTTGGGATACAGCATCGGCTACACCCAAATGATTTTTTAATTAATTTTCCCTAACCTCCAAGGCAACCACTGAAACATACAGTATGATTCTCTTCTCCAACCCCAACAACGGTCTCTTCACTGCGAAAAAACATTCCACCAAATTTTCGGGACTGACCCTTCATTAGCCTGTCCCTCCAGGAAATCGCGATTCCACGGATGCAACAAATTTCGCGATTTTGGCCCAAACCCGCGATTTTCAGCAAAATTCGCGATTTCCCACGTTTTTTGTTTTCTGCACTATATCTCCCATTTTTATGCACTTTTCACGCAGTTTTTTCCATGATCCTGTAGGTTATTTGCACAGTACGACTCCCGAGTAGATATACGATGCAACAAATTTCGTGATTTGGCCCAAATCCGCAATTTTCTGCAAATAATTCCGCGAATTCCTGGCAAGTTCTGCATCATTCCGCACTTTTCGTCGCATTTTTTGTTACTATCTGCCGCAATTTCTTGCGCAAGTTTTCGAGAGTTTTTTCCGCAAATTCCCGCAGGGACAGATTAGGCTGAAAACACACAAAAACCTGGAACCCACAGTCTCTACACAAGTCATACATACTTGGAGACAGGCGGTATGCTGTACATACTCGCTAACGCCTCCCAAAACTAAATCTCTTAGGAAACCAAAAGAGGTGAGTACTGTCGGCCGCCCAAGAAAGGCCAGGTTAGAATTTCACCGTACGGCAAGCACAGCATACCAATGTATACACGGTGACTCAAATGTGCATTGAGTACACTATACACGTACATGAAAATAAGAGCAGTTTTCATGTAGGTTACTAGGCAGACCCAGCGACCAACAGTACATGTACAAGTAGAATGTACACTGTACTAACTCCACTCAATACCCGCCATTGTCCAACTAACAACTTATACAATCATATTGAGCAAGTACAGTCAGCCATCTTCCCAATGCACTAATGAGGTATTCCCGGTCTGACATTGTGATAGTTCAGTTTCGTGATAACCGTGTGATGCCGTCAAGCATAGAGATCAAGCAATACTGTACAACTCGTACAAGCCCACATACAGTATACGTCAGTACAAACTTCTTGCAATCCGAGTAACTCTCCATAATCTCAGGCAATGCAACTTTCAAACATGAATGTGCCGCTGAGTACATTTTTCGGCTACTCAGACTGCTAGCGCAGAAAGAACAAAGGCTAATCTCAAGAGAGAGAAAAACTATAAGCTCTGCTAAAAGGAAAGGTGAATCAAGGATATCCGATAGTATTGAAATCATGAAACATACTGTACGCTTGCAAATTCGAATCATACGCAAAGAAACCGCATAAAAGGTTTTAAAATCAATAAACTTGTAGAATCATAAATTCATAATATATCAAGGCACCAACAGTTAGGCTCTTGAGAAAATCTGAGCAGCTCAAAACGTATCCCAAAAGGGATCACGTTTCCGTGCAACAAAGCAAAGCATACACATTATAGATAGCAAATACAAACTAGCAGTGCAGTAGAGTGTGAATTTCATTACACTAACTTGCATTTTCAACCATTTCAGTGAGCAATTAATTCTAGCGGTAATACAGCATGAAGGAAAGTGTAATTCAATAATGTCTACATCAGTTAGAATGCCAGACAAAATCTCAAAACAGAATAAAAATCACAATTGGAAAAGGTCTTGGAATACCTGAACACACTTGATCAGAAACATTACGACCGTTCAGTAGCGTCTGCACACACCATTCACTGATACAGCTCATTGTGGGTACATAGCAGCTCATGGTGGGTCCACCAGCAAAGTTACCTTCACAGACACGGTGGGGACAAAAGCACACACACAAAGAGACATTCATCAATGCACTGAGTCCTGGAAAAATACACGTACTAAGCCTCATGTTGACGGCTTCAAACAATATTGTACATCACGAACTTCGTTCTAACGTTCTCTGAGACTCTCCGTACATTTTCATACTGGACTATCACATTGCCCAACCATGCTGCATCTCTGCCAAACTGGACAGAGAGCAGAGCATAGGATGTCTGTGTGTGTGTGGGGGGGGGGGGGGCAGGGGTGTAGGAACCGGTCCGGCAGGTCTGACGGCCGCCGGACAAATGTTTCGCCAAAAAAAAAAGAAAAAAGGCAGCAAGCTCGTTTTCAACCCTGCGGAGGGTCAAGTCCTACTTACGCAGGACAACCCGCCAGGAAAGGCTCAATCACCTGATGTTCCTGAATGTCCACACGAAACTGCTGGACGGCTAGTGCCTGAAGAGTACGGCACGGGAATTTGTATGTGGAAGTGCGTTTCAGCTCTCCCAATTCGGACAGTTTAAGTGGAATTTTGTCAATTCAAATACACGTACTTGCTTCTGCATGCACTTCAGGAGTATACTACTGTAGTATAACCTCAAGTCTTCCATGATACCACAGTATTTGTTCATATCAATCCTTTTACAAGTAAAATCGCCCTCTTCACTCAGTAGACACAGGGTCGAGCGAGCTGTATTCCCGGTGCCGGAAGGCGGGATCACCACCCCTACATGGCAACTTCCCCATGCCTAACCCTCAAGACAATGTGAATACAGTGCGTATCGGTTATAGCATGGTCGTGCAAAAGATTATACTGCATACAAGAATGAACTCTCATGTTTTCATAATCATAACATCGGTTTCAAGTGCACATTTATTCTTACAAGAAATTTTATCGCATAGCAGAATATATCGGTCCTAAGTAGGGGTGAAACAATTATACCGAATACTAGGGGTGAAACGAGTATCTATTTTGACCAACCGATCACTCATTCATAATATTCGATCGAGTATCCGATTATTTCGAGTATTTTATCGAAATTCAAAAGCGCTAGATTTTTGAGTTCTCGACTAATTCGGAAGAAATTATCTGTGAACATTGAACAAAAGTCGCCAACGTCTTGTACAGAGTGTAAAGTAACGATCTTCACCAGCACTTTCATTATCTCGAAACAAAATAACGTTACTTGCTGTGGTGATCGCATCGTCCAAGTCATAAAATACTGACTCAAAGGCACGAATAATGCGTGCATACCAGTCGATGAGCAGGAGTTACAGGAGTTTTTGAAAATAGAATGCCAGTACTAAAAAAAAAAAAAAAAAAAAAAAAAACGATCGAGTGCAAAATTTCGAATACTCGCTCGTTTGAGATTTTCGAACGAATACTCGAATATTCGAACTGATCGTTTCACCCCTACCGAATACTCGAGTACTCGCTCGTTTTTTTCTGAAATAATCGTGCTCGGAATAAATCAGAGTACTCGTTCATACGTGGTACATGCATTTACCACAGAAATCTGCAGTTTCAGAGCAATAGTCAGCAGATATTGATGTGCAGACTGTGTGGTGAACGTTTGTTCACGAGTAGAGAGAGCCCAAATGACCCAGCAACCAATATACCAGAGAAAAATGGCAGCCACTCGGTTCAAGCAGGGTTGTATCATGTGATTTTAAGGCCCTTGGTGTGCAATTTATAGGAGATGAAGAATACTCAAATACTCGAATATTCGATCGGAGAAAATCAGAGTACTCGAACTCGGGATCTCAATGCCAACTTTCACCCCTAGTCCTAAGAATGGGCTTAGATTAGTACAAAGTGTATCGCCTGTAGTAATACCATCTGTTACAAATGCAGTTCTGATCTGACTCGCGTTGTGTCGTAATGCTGCAGGTTCAACTGTTGTGCTCATGGAACTCATATCATATCAGGTTGCATAGCCACATGGTAAGCAGTATGGGACTTTGACCAGCCGCATGCACAGTAGCACTACGTTGCATGTACGATGATCTTCCTGACCCTGCGTACATGCATATGATACATATCCATATAAAAATCGCTCTGTGAGCGGTTCTGAAAAACCTTTACTGGTGCTGCCCCGTCGTAAAGGTAAGAAATTAGAACTGGAGCATTTTCCCCCCAAATGCGAACAGATCCACCTAAATCGCGAATGACGGGACCCGAACGCACCAGTAGCACGAGGTCGGGAGGGCACAGGATCACAGCAATTATCATAGGGTGACACCACCACTACTATAGTGCAGTACATTGCACATTGTATCAGTGGCAGTGTATTGCTAGTACACGTACAATTATCGACGACCATGGCCAACGTCCCCATCTGCATCCACAGCTAGGAACCTCGTGCTACTGGTGCGTTCGAGTCCCGTCATTCGCGATTTAGGTGGATCTGTTCGCATTTGGGGGGAAAATGCTCCAGTTCTAATTTCTTACCTTTACGACGGGGCAGCACCAGTAAAGGTTTTTCAGAACCGCTCACAGAGCGATTTTTATATGGATAATTTCAGTTCTTTTTCCGTTCCCTCCCCACCCCAACCCCGAAGGTGAACATGATGAGCACGCGCGCGATGTACTGTAAGTAGCCATGAGACTGCAATAACACACTGATAACTGTTACATACCAGCCTCCATTTCATGCGGAAGGCAGCCCCCATCCTGGATGCTGCTGGACGCCTAACCGTCTATAAGGGCTTTGTAAGGCCCATACTTGAGTATGCCCCACTAGCCTGGCTTGGTGCTGCCCAGACCCACCTTGGGAAGTTGGACACAGCACAGCGCAAGGCCATGCAGATGATTGGACCCACCACCGTCCTCCAGAGTCTGCGGGCCAGACGGACGGTCGCAGGGCTGTCCTATCTCTACAAGGTAGTTAACTGCAAGGGCTCACCCCGTCTGACACGCATGCGCCCTCCCCCCAAACCACGGGCCGATACTGTTCGAACCCGCCAGCAGCATTATGCTCAGCGCCAGCACCGGGAACAGCTCTTAAACACCACCCCCGGCACCAGTCCCGATTACCTTCGACGTTCCTTCCCGTACTGTTTCCTTGAATTGTGGAACAGCCTCCCCGAGGACGTCTTTCCCCGTCTGGCCAATCACTCTCCACTCACAGCTTTTAAAAAAGGTGTCAACAAACACATTTCAGACCAGCCATGGTCTTGGGACGTGCTTTGAAGCCCATCATGTCGATCGTCTCACTGTTCTTTCCAGATCGCACCTCTCGGTTTGGGGATGTGTATTGAAGCACCCCATACTAACGGTCTATACTGTCCTCTCTTGGTCACCACTCTCCCTATTACCTATATTGTAATTACCATTCATGTATTGCGCTTCAGATTTTCTTCCGTTTTTGTCTCTTGGTGCGTTACCGGCATGGCGATACTGAGACCTAATGGTCAGTGGAGTGCCTGTAGCCTCACCAGCACTGCTACTATCTGTGACTGTGGCGACCACCATTCAATGTCTCGTCCTCCCCTAACCGTACCCCAACTCTCTCTCTCTCTCTCTCTCTCTCTCTCTCTCTCTCTCTCTCTCAGCTCTCTTTTTATCTGTCTTTTCTTACTCTTTTTTCTTTGTCAGCTTTCCTGGTGGTTATGTGCTTTTTCAAGTAAAGAAAAAAGAAAGAAAAAAAAGAAGCTCTCCCCACCTCGCTACCCCGCACACAGATACACAAACACGCGGGTGCACCCGGCACACGCATGTGGCCACGCACACATACGCACATGCACACGACACAAACAGGAAATTCTTCATGTATAATGCCATGCAAAGCAGTGGCCACCGTACTTCAGGAAGTCAGATGTGAAACAAAATAATTCAACTACAGTCAACTTCGATAATAACGACTGCAGATATAACGACAATTCGCGAATAACGACAGAATTTCCATGCCCAGAGCAAAGTCCCATCCAACTGTAATACAATCATATAATGGGACTTCGGGTATAACGACACTTCGCGAATAAGGACACTTTTCTGATGCCCCGCCGAGTGTCGTTATACGTGAAGTAACGTTAGTTGACTGTACAATGTGTAGACAAGCTGACGGCAAAGCACAACATAGCAGCAAACATGACATTTGCTCAAGGATTGCAGTTTGCAGACCACGCCATGGAAGCAGCGAATACAGAATGTAATATCATACAAAGTGACAAGGAAGGAAGTGGCCACTATACAACAGAAACTTGCAGAAAGTCACACATCCAACAGATTATAGAGAAGTGCACAGCAATCTGGTACAGCCCACACAGGACAAAGCTGACCTGATACTGGTCCCAGGATCGTAAGTGGCAGATCCTTTTCAATGCATAACATGCAGGTGTACGTTACACGCATGGACAACATCTGACCGTGTCGCCAGCACACAATGTCATCACAAGTATACCCCACAACTTACACACATGCACAGTAGAAGCACAATGAAAGCAATGGAAAAGTACGCTGTGGTTGCTGAAGCATCTTCACACTTCAAATTCAGACTTCAATGTGGTCGTCACAGGATGATATACCTGCAAGATACAAGTGATGCAGAAAGAAAGCAGAAGGTCATGAGGTAGGCTATGAGACACCACAAACGGGTCACCTACATGTATGTTCAGGCTAGTACACTCACATGGAGAATTATCATATTCGAGCATATCCCAAACTGAGAAGTGCAATGAAATCCACTTGCATGCAGAGGAGCAATTTTGCAGTGTGATGCGTAATTTGACACGATCTGCGATGCTGCGTGCGATGCAAACTTGCGCAAAATATCATTCACGGAATGACTGCAAGAGGTCAGTGATGCAACAATGCCCTGCTGACATGTGTCTCAAAGCTCAAAAAGAACTTGCGTTTGTCACCATGGCACTCGCGTAGCCGGTACAACTGGTACAAATGTGCAAGCAATTCATGAGTCTTTCGTCTCGCCTCCTCAGATAACCACTGCAAGGCTGCGACGACAACCTTCGGCCTGACAAGGTGCTTCCAGACAATCTTCGCAAGATTTTTAGACAAGGTGCTTCCAGACAATCTTCGCACTGGTTGGTACACAGTTCACTATGATGTTTGTATTGTCAGCACACAAGTCATGCATGAGATGCGGGTTGTCGTCAATTAGCAATGGAAGGTGGAGTATTTTGTTCGTGGCACCTCACTCGCTTTGAATGCGGTCGACTGCCATGCTTTGTGTCTAGCTTGTAACATGTCTGGAAGGGTTCCACTTTTTGAATGAGTAATTTTTCGAATGAATTTAGTCGCGACAAGCACTGGGGTACAGGGTGAAGGTGCAAGTCATTGAGAACGCAAGATGGCGGCATGCTGTCTTTCTTCACGTACAGTTTGCAAACCCTGGAAATGAACATGGCGTCTGTAGCGTGCGACTGTACACCATTAACTATTGGCAAGATATACACACACACCTTAAACGTAACGAACTACAAGAATAGAGTGAGTACAATGCGCTGTCGACCTGATAACGTGTTGGAAGATAACAGGTACACCGTCCCACCGTAGGTCTACCCTTCATCATTCCTCATTCACCATCGTGCGATATCATGGCACACACTGGCAACATATCAAGGGATGCCTTACCGTCGCCTATAGGGGACGTCTTCGCAGCAATGTTTTTCGTCCTGTGCATACAGTCCGCCGACGCGACAGAGTTTACGGGCCCGTTCCAGTTGTAGGAGACATTCGATTCATCGGGCCAGTGCAGCAACAGGGCCGTGGGCAGACAGGGGCAGAGGAAAGACATTGTGAGTGGACAAGAAATATGCAGTGGCAAGTGCCATGAATGTCAAGTTCTCATTTCTAATTGAGCTATTACTTACAGTCCTGCCATTGCTCGCTCGTCCTGATTCCTCCTCGTTCGTCTGTGTCCGCTTCTGCCGTTCTCCTCCCCGTCACAGCGTCAGGTCAGTGCATTCTCATTAATTTCTCAATGGCACTTTTCGGGACGGGGTACGATGCCTCCAAAGGCCTAGAGCGGACGTCTTTGCAGCAATATTTTTCGTCGGCGGACGGGACAGCGTTTACGGGGCCGTTCCAGTTGCAGAAGACATTCATCAATGGCACTTTGCGGTACGGGGTACCGGAAGGAGTTCGCACCATGTCTCCAAAGGCCTAGAACGGACTTCTCTGCAGCAATATATTTTGTCCTACGCATTCAGCCCGCCGAGCGTTTACGGGGTCGTTCCACTTGCAAAAGACATTCATCGATCATCAATGGCACTTTGCGGTACGGGGGTGCCGGAAGGAGTTCCCACGATGTCTCCAAAGGCCTAAAGCGGACGTCTTTGCAGCAATTCTTTTTGCCCTGCGCATTCAGTCCGCCTACGCGACAGCGTTTCCGGGGCGTTCCAGGTGCAGAAGACATTCATCAATGGCACTTTGCGGTACGGGGTACGGAAAGGGGCCTCCTCGTTCCACTTCGTCGACTTCTGCAGTTCTCCTTCCCGTCAGGGGTACCGAAAGGGGCCTCCTCGTTCGTCTTCGTCGACTTCTGCATTGCACATAATCATTGGCACAAAGCAGACCGCTGACGGGGTCACGTGTCAACAAAGTAACAACAAAGTGTCGACAACGTGTCGACCACGTGTATAGCGGTACACTCAGCGGTACACTAATTCTCGTGCCATTCTCGTGTCACAAAACTGGAACATCGAGTACCAGTATGGAAAGGCTTCAGACAGGAAGCCTTTCCAATCACACTTGATTTATCGTGTATAAGAAATATCCGAAATAGGAATAGAAATCGTTTTTCAAAACACGCACGCTACAACCAATACCTACTAGACTGTAGTAGTCATACTGGGCCGAGTTAAATATATTTTTTTTTAAATCGCGACCTGCACGAGCTAAAATTCCGCCGGACCATTGGAAATCTGCTTCCTACGCCCCTGGGGGAGAGAGAGACTATGAGAACATAATGAATGACAAGAGCCTATTCAACATGTCCACAAATCATACATGTACTTAGCCGCTTGCTCTGTATACCCCCCCACACACACACACACACATACACATACCCACGAGTCTGGCCTCATCGGTGCACAAGTTTAAAACTGAACAACAGTATGCTTACAGAGGATATCTCCAGTAGCTTCAACTGGAGGAGATCAGCAAGCTCCTGGTGGGCCAGCTTCTCACTTTCTTTCAGAGCAGACACAAACTGACGGAACGCCTGCTTGCCACAGCCCGGCAGTGCTTCCAAAAAGACAGATGCCTGAGACACAACATTTCAATAAAAAGAGATGCAAGGACAACATGTAATTCTATCCATCTGCATACAATCCATCACTTTCTCATCTGAATAAATATGATAAGTGTGTAACCTCCTTGCCTAGTCTAGCTTTCACTCAGTAGCCGCCTGTCCAACTACATACTTGACCAGCTGTACACAACTTGGCGATGATAGGCCATTGTCAACAAAAACACATCTTCCAGGCTAAATGCTGTTCACTAGAAATTTCATTCTTCGTGTGGACATACTAATTTGACTGCTGAGCACAAGTGAGAGCAGTAACAAAATAGTTCATCAACACAAAAATTGCATATGATTTCATTCTCCAGAACCTTATTTTGCCAGGAAGCCGTGATCCTGTTCACTGCAGCCTGTTTATGCTTTCTGAAGAAAAAGCAAGCACAAAACAAGTGCTCTACAGTCAACTTCGCTAATAACGCCTGCAGATATAACGACAATTCGCGAATAACGACAGAATTTCAATGCCCAGAGCAAAGTCCCATCTAACCGTAATACATATAATGAGACTTCGGGTATAACGACACTTCGCGAATAAGGACACTTTTCTGATGCCCCGCCGAGTGTCGTTATAAGCGAAGTTGACTGTATATGTGCATTTCTGTACAAAATTGGACCTGGCCATTCGTATACTCAAACTTTAATTATCCTATATTCCCTTCTCCAGATTGTTCCACAAACCTGACAGTCAAGAAGGGTAAGCAGCAGCAGCACTCGCCCTTCTACAGATTATGTTGCTGATGGTGTGCTGTGGCAACGAGTCAAGGTCGGCCGAAAAGCGCACATGTGGTGACGTGGTTGATGAGAACAATAACCTGACTATCTCTGGGTCATCTGATAAACTCTATGTACCGGTAACTACACTCCTTGCAGCTTTGAAATTGGAGACTGTTGTCAACGGGTTTGTTGTAACTTACACTTAGTTACTGCATGCTTGTGGCACACGACAGTCACAAGCAACACGAGGAGTAATTATGGTTGGTAGTTATCATTACGAAGGTAAACAAGAGAATGGCCCGAGCATGCCCAGAGCAACCAGGTAAGGGCCAGCAGCCATGATGAGAGAATACCGTAGACATGCGCGAATGGAGATAATGTCGTACGAAGAAGCAGCGAGAGAGAAGCATGCAGCGACGGCATGTAAATGCAGTCTATAACAGGGTTGATAAACAGAACATGATTTGATTGATGCTCAGGACTATTCTGAGATACTGTAAGTCTACAAATTTTCAGCCCATTGAAATTCCGGCCTCCCAGGGCTAAAACACATTTCGGCCACATCAAATTTTCGGCCTGCATAGCTGCTGACTGTACGCACTGTCACACTCAACCTTGCACCACAAAATTTCGGCTGCAACAATTTTCCGGCCAAATATGCCCAGGCCGAAAATAGCTGAAAATATATATACGCCGAATATTTGTTGACTTATAGTACCAGCAGTTGGCTGTTACGGGTGAGGTCACCCGCACAGGCCAGGCAAGGGAAGTTTGAGTGTACAGTTGAACATCGATTATCCGACCACCTCTGGGCAGACAACTGTCAGGCGGTGTTCAGATAAGGCAAATGTTCCGGATAAGAAAAAACTGCCACTCACACACTTTCAGTGGTTATTACTAGCCGCACGACCTTTTTACTTTTCAAAATTTTCGTATTTTTTGAATGGCTCACTACATGCACAGTGCGTACTCTACGGCACGTGCGCCCAAAAAAACTGTTACGGATAATCGAATGGTCGGATAGTCGATGTGCGGATAATCGATGTTCAACTGTACATGCAAAATATCATGCTTGCGTTTAGTCTGCTGCAGTTGGTCACTTTTTGCACGAATTATCAAGTATGAAAGCTTGACATGCAAAAGAATTCTTACATTCCCCACTTCTGCAAGTATACTTCGAAGTACAATCAATAGGTGCTCAATAAAAAGGTATCGATATTGAGACGGTAGTGCTGGTTCCGATTTCCAGTGTCCCTGCAAATGTTTCTTCTTCATATGAAAGAGAAATGCTGTGTGACAAGTTGGCTACTACTTGGTCCTTGGCGCTTATCTTCACACTTGTCTCAGGAAGGAAATCCGTATATTAGAAGCGTGCCACGATCACAAATCACTATGTACATGACTATTGACATGTCAGTAAGCAACTCAGCCGAAAATTCAATCAAGTTACACATCCTCCTCGCCACTATCGTCGCTGGAGGAAGAGCTCAAAACGTTTGATCTGGACAGATGCTGCAGGTTTCATAGCTTGTTCCACTTCTCCTCGTCTCGAATCACTCAGAGGCAGTACGTGCCTGTCACCTTGCCGATCAGAAGCTGAGTGAGACTGCCCGCATGTTGGCTGTAAGTGTTATCCCCGTTCGTCGCAATAATGCGACTTTGTTTGAGACAAAAATGCAACGCCATACCAGTGTCCATTTTTCAAATCGCCTATTGCGCTTGTCGTACTTGCTGATGAGCACCCACGCGAGCCGCTGGTGCTTGGACATGCAGCGCAGTGATAGCTTCCGCTTGATGTAGCACCTGTGCGAACTGCACCTTAGTCCTAACGCCGTACCCTCAGGCATGGACGCCAATGGCTGGCGAAGAATCTGTTCGTCCTTCCATAGTGCCTCTGATGCTCTCTGCGATGCGCTCGCCCTGTGTGCCCGTCGCATAGCGACCACTGCCATCGACCCTTCCTCCCTTGAGGCCTATACCGCCTGCAGGCTGATCCCATTAGACAAGCAACCCGGAGTTCGGCCCATCGGAATTGGTGAGGTCGTCCGACGTGTTATCGGCAAGGCCATATTGATGGTAGTAGGCCCAGCAATTCAGCAAGCCACAGGGTGCCTCCAACTGTGCGCAGGTCAACAGAGCGGCATCGAAGCAGCCATCCACGCTATGCGATCCGCATTCGCGCAAGACGACACTGAGGCCGTGCTCCTAGCCGATGCATCAAATGCGTTCAATCGTATCAACCGCAACGTATGCATTCGCAACATCCAGCATCTGTGCCCAGAATTCTCCACCACCATCGTCAATACGTACCGGTCCCCATCCCGGCTGTTCGTCGGTGGCGAGACCATTCTCTCCTGTGAAGGAACTACACAAGGCGATCCGCTCGCAATGGCAATGTATGCGTTGGGCACCATGCCTCTCATCCGTCGTGCTGCCTCTAGCAAAGCCGTACAAGCGTGGTTCGCAGATGATTCCACAGCAGCAAGCACTCTCACCAGGCTTCATAAGTGGTGGTCCATCCTGGAAGAAGAAGGTCCATCCTATGGATACTACATCAACGCCAAAAAGTCGATACTTTTGGTGAAGCCCGAGTGCTTAGATCGAGCCAGGGAAATCTTCCAGGACTCCAGCATAGACATCCGGTCGGATGGGTGTCGCCACCTAGGTGCCGTCCTCGGATCACCAACATTCTGTTCGGCATATGTGTCAGGCAAGGTGGATGAGTGGTGTCGCGAAGTGGATGTTCTGGCTGAGTTCGCCCGCACCCAACCACAAGCGGCATTTGCTGCCTTCGGCCAGGGAGTTCGCCATCAGTGGTCCTTTGTCGCCCGGACAGTGCCAAATACGGCCGACCAGCTCGCACCCTTGGAGGAAAGAATCCGTACCAAATTCATCCCTGCCATCATCAACCGCGTCCCGCCAGGAGACATCGAGCGTGCCATGCTGGCCCTACCGTGCAGGGACGGAGGGCTGGGGATCGTCAACCCATCCTCCCTTGCCTCCCAGTTCCAGGACTCTATGCATATTACCAAGTCTCTCGTGCAGAAGATCCTCCAGCAAGATCAGTCAGCAGAAGGCGTCCCAGCTGCCACCATCACAGCGAAGGCAGAGATTGTTTTCCAGTCCCGGCGCCTGGCGAAGGAAGCGGTTGCCTCGGTCATTGCCACCTCCACCAGCACCACAGAGCGCACCCTGAATCTTGCTGCTGAAAAGGGCGCCTCCAGCTGGTTGACCTGTCGGCCCCTTCGTCAGTATGGTTTCAACCTACACAAGCAGGCGTTCTGGGACGCTCTCTGCCTACGGTATGGTTGGACCCCTCCAGGCCTGCCAACAGAATGTGTGTGCGGCAAAGCGTTTTCACCGGAACACGCGCTGTCTTGCCCAACTGGTGGCTACCCCGCCATGCGGCATAATGACCTTCGGGATCTCACCGCATCTCTCCTGCGTGAAGTGGCCCATGATGTCCAGGTCGAGCCACATCTCCAGCCGCTAACCGGTGAGACCTTCCGTCACCGCTCCGCCATCTCCGAGGACGGTGCCCGCCTGGATGTGGCCGCATCGGGTGTCTGGGGTGGACGTTTCGAACGGGCACTACTGGACATCCGGGTATTCAACCCGCACGCCCGCTCCAACCGCCAACAGTCCATCACAGCCACCTACCGGAAGCATGAGGCCGAGAAAAGGCGCGCGTACGAAGAACGCGTCCGGGAAGTTGAACACGCGTCTTTTTCTCCCATTGTGTTCAGCGCTTCCGGCGGCTACGGCAAGTCCGCCTCCGCTTTTTTCAAGCGTGTCGCCTCTATGCTCGCCGACAAGAGAAAGGAGCCCTTCTCCTCACTTCTTGCCTTTATTAGGTCAAGGGTTTCCTTTTCTCTTGTTCGTGCCTCCAATGCCAGCCTCCGTGGTCACCGCAGGCCACGGTCTCAAGATGCCCGCCAGAGAGTCATTGACTCTGATGCTTCTGTGGTCCTTGCTGCTGCAGAGTGCTTTCGGTAACTATCCGTGGTGTGTTTGGCTACTGTTCTGCTTCAGTACCCCCCCCCCCCACTTTTTCATGATTTTGCATGTTATCGTTTTCTCGGATTCCGGTTTTCCACTCTGTTATGTTCGAATCCATAGTCTGTTTAGTTTGTACACGATTTGTACGCAACTTCTCATTATTTTTTTTTGTTTTTGTTTTTTTTACCAGGCGTGGGCCATCCCCTGATCATAGGTGCCTTGATATCGGTGATGTATTCGGATATCCTGACTCATCTTTATACCATGGAAAAAAAAAAGTCCTAACGCCGTTCACCAGGCTGTTCGGCTAGTTTCCTGAAAGTCCTTTGCACGAGAGTTTCCCTCAGGACTTGGTGTTTATTTTGGTTAGGTCCTTTGCCCGGTCTTCTGTGAGCTTCAAAGTGTGTCCGCCGGATTGGTCTCACTTTCTGGAGATGTCGACATGAGCTGCAGCTTCTTCGTCAGCGATTTGCTGGTGATAACTTCACTAGGCGATGAACTGTGCAAGCACTGAAATTCAAGCTCGCGAAGCGCTTTTTCAGCTTTTATATACCTCCCCGGGGTAAACACCCCGTGTCACCAGACAGCTGGAAGTAGAGAGAAACTGTATTCTCCATCGCTCTGAAATGCGAACATCCGGACCTATTTTACGGACTCGAGCGGAGGTTGCAGTGTTTTCTTGCCCTGACGGAAGTGTTCGTCAGTGGCAGCTCCGTCAAAAAGACTCAAACGAACCGATCGCAACTTCTGTGATGGTTTGTGCTGCCATGTCGTCGGATGCAATGGTCAATAGTTATGTTCGGATGGTGAATCAGTGGTTCCATGCCGCATGACACAGGCAGAACACCGAAAAATCAAGTGCGAAGATAAGCGCCAATTTTAACTTAGCGGACCAAGTAGTAGCTTAATGAATACACCATAGGTAGTAATTACACACCAATGCAAGCATTACCTGATCTTCACGATCATCCATAGCACGGAGTTTCTTGCAGAAGCGCTGGGTGATGATGCTCTCTGCATAGAGACGGTCCAGAATGCCCTCTTCTACGTCCAAACTACACTTCAACTCCACATAGCTTGAACGCAGTACTTCCTGGTGAAGCTCAGACATCTAGTGCACAACATAAGCAAACCAGTTGGATAATTTCTTTAGTGAGGGAATTTGGGCATTTTTAAACATATTTATACATCATGCTTTGTGAGAACGTTTATGATGTATCTATTTTTCGATCGCCAATGTTCTCGTGAGCAATGAAGAGGAAAGTAAATGCAACTAATCTCACCCAACAGAAAGACCTGCACATGTTTGCTTGGAAAACTGGAAACTAACAAAAGAGAAAAGCATGCACCTGATCTCTACTGACATACAGGTGTTCACTCTTTCCCATGCATTAGCCACAACATTGGAAATATTCAGACAACTGGCTCTCTACCAGTACTTAATACACTTTTGGTGGAAACCTTAACAAAAGTAGGGCTGCAACGGTTAGGGGTTTGATTGGGTAACGAGTTCGGGCATTTCTATCTTGGTAGTATGGGTACCCCATTGGGTATCTTTTACATAGTACGAGTAACATGGCATTGCATGAGCGGGATCGCCACAATGCGTTTGTACAGTGAATGTGCACTTCCGCTACATAGAGAAATGTACAGTACGCAGGTAGCTGTACTTCTTACATGCACCGTTGTGCAAACACCATACTCCAAATATCCGAAGGAGTCCTTAGGCGCAAACTGCTAACTGCTAACCGACAACCCGCTCCCATTACAGGTCTCGCGGGTACCATACTACCCGATGACACCTTCAAAACAAAATCAAAAATTGATCCATTCTTACCCCAGTTTGCACCTTGTCTTTCAGTTTAGAAGAAGTAGCACTGGAATTGTCAACTTCATCCAACACTTTCCCTTTGACATCAGCACTGGGAGCAGTGTGGAGATCATGGTGGTTCAGAGTGCACTTTCCAGGACCGGGACAAGTTTGGAATGTTTCCACCAGCTGAGACAGACCTTGAAATGGTAGCACACGCTCCACAAAGTAGCACATGCCTTCGTCCGACAGCTCCTCCAGCACATAGCACAGGTGATCCAGAGCTTCAGTGTGTCCACTTGTCTTCATCACTGCCCGCGTTTCCTTCACACAGTCGTGATTGATGTGACCCTCAGCACGCAAACTCTTGACACAGTCCATCACGTTAATCTCCAGGCTTCTCTGCACAGCGGTGTAATGCTTGTGCAGTGCTCCGTGATAGACTGCAGCTTTCTTGGCCACTGTGCCCGAGGTAACCTGCTGAACTTTAGCCAACCCTACCAACGAGGGAAAGAGTACATAAATGTAAAACACCTATAGTCAGACCAAGTACTGTGCATACAAGCTCCACACCTTGGCCAGACGCATCCAGCCACAGGTGTTGCACATGTAATCCTCCAATTCTGTACCTGTGGGTACACAGTGTAGCACTTCATCTATCTACTTAGAACTTTGTCTTCGCATCTGTCGATTGAAATTCTGCTGAAGCTCCCCCCCCCCCTCCCCCCTTCCCCAACACACACACACACACACACACACACACACACACACACACACACACACCAATTTTGACCATTTGACGCCCATCGCCGGAGGCGATGATAGCGATGCGACAGCAGAAGCCATAGCAACTTGTGCTGGGATTGCACCATTCAACACTTGCAAGGCTGAAGGACTGACCGCCACTAGTCTTCTCCCGCATTTCATATACATACTCTTCTACAGCATTCTTGGCATCGGCATGTTCCTTCTCTAGCCGGTCCTGTGAAATCATTTCATTCTACAGACAAAGAAACAATGCAGCCAAATCGTTGAAAAAAGAAAGAAGAAGAAGAAGAAGAAGAAGAAGAAGAAGAAGAAAAAGAGCATACTGGGAGGAACAGTACAACTTAAAAAAATAGTGAAGATCAATGTGAGACAAATACAGCAGTAGTGCAACAAGGAACAAGTATCCACACATAGGGAGAGAGAGAGAGAGAGAGAGAGAGAGAGAGAGAGAGAGAGAGAGAGAGAGAGAGAGAGAGAGAGAGAGAGAGAGAGAGAGAGAGAGAGAGAGACCCTAATCAAACAGCAGAGGCAATGTGCAGTTTAATTGTTTTTTGCAAGATTAGTAATTTTACAGGTTTCCGACAGTATATGCTACGCAAACAAGAATGAGTGCACATACATAAGAAGCACGCACCCAATATCCATAGATGATATGCCAAATGAGCCCTCGAAAAGTTGAGAGGGCATGCGATTGATGCGCCCAGGCTTAGCTTGTCAAGTGCACGGGATGTGCAAAGTACACGGATTTTAGGCTTGTTGCGCGTTTACGCGATCAGGCGCTGCACGTGCATGAATGGAATGCATGCAGTTCCACCGTTACTAGTTTTAGCACTTCCTTCGGCATTGAGATTAATGAAAAACTAAAGCTGTAGAAGAAACAGTTTTGCTTGCTTTATAGCGGCTTGAGTGATTTTTCGCTGTCTTGTTTTCGGATGCCGACCAACCACGACCATTGCTGTGTTCCAGGATGTACTGGTGACCGGCGTTACTCCCCAGCCCCAGCAAATGGTATTCGTCTTTTCCATCAATTTCCATCATCCTGAACTGTGAAGGAAACGGACTGTTGCTATTCGACGGGAGGAAAGGCAAGGAGAGCAACAGAAAGTGACACTACAGTGGTGTGCTCTGACCATTTCTTGCCAGAAGATTATGTACAAGGGAGAAAATCGCCAGAGCAAGACTGGTAAAACATTTTGTATCTGGAGTTTTCAATCTGGTCCGCCAAGACAACAGCGGCTGATGCTAACCGGCGTCGCTCTACCTCGTGTCATGAGCTACTGCACGGGAGCTGCCTGAAGACATACGACTCATACCTAGTGATATCCCAGGCATGCTGTCACTACGCTGGAGGAAACATTCGACAGTATTCAATGCAATCTGGGTGGCTGCAAGAATAAAGTAGCAAAATTGAGCGAAATGACTAACAGTCGCATTGTTTGGAGTTCTAGTATCCAGGTTCAAAGACAAGGCATGGGACTGCCCTATTCAAAATTTAATAATAATAATAATAATAATAATAATAATAATAATAATAATAATAATAATAATAATAATAATAATAATAATAATCATAATCATAATCAGTAACCTTGCACAACACAGTCATTCGACGTTTCAAGTGGAGTCTCAAGATAATATTTGGCTACCCAGCAGCCACCATTTGTCACCGCCACAAAATATTCCCGTCGCCATCCGTTAAAACTTTATAATAATTATTTCGCCTTGTTTTGCTTTGTTTTATAAATGTGTGCATGGCTGCCATGCCATAGCGCCACAGCCCCCTCTTTGCAGAGTTCCCTTTGTTTTTAGGTCAAATAGTCACCCTATGCTGGCTACGGAAGCCTTGACCAGGCCTGCTGAGGGGATAGTACACCCTCGCTTTAGCCCTAGCTACTGCTTTTTCACGACATAGCTTCTCTTGGCGAAACATACAGGTACCTGGTCTCAGATAGCAGTGATAGCTGGAGTTTTCTTCCATCGGGGTGCTGCTAGGCAGCCTCCTTGGTCATGCCACAGATGCTGCGTAGCCAAAGTGAAGGCTGTTATGTTATAACAACCTTCTACATAACCTCTTTTGCAATACGTAATGGCGTAGTATGCAGCCTCGGTTTTTCATTCAACTTTTTTTACCCACTTTAACCTTGAGCACCCTGTAAAAAGGCGCATTGTCTGCAGGGATGGCCCTAGTAAAATAATAAATAGAACAAAAATAGAACAACTCTATTTGTGCTGGCCCTGACTAATAGCGGGAGCACATGAGAAACTGGTTGCCTGGAGCAATGACGGAAGAAACGCTGATGTGATCTCACTTGGGTGAGGGATGAGGTGAAACCGCGAAGCAGTCAGGGTCTTGTTTCTCAGCCTATGCCATATGCCGCTGCCAATATGCTGTTGGGTATGGGGCTCTATTGCTATTGCCTCTGTTAGGAGCACCTTCTCCGTGATGTGGGATAGGGAAGGCAGGATTTCCCAGTACAAAGGAAAATCAATGTTGCCAGTGTCAGTATGCCCAGGTGGTTGATAAGGGTTTTCGCAACTACGTTCCTTGGCCCTTGTGCCCCATTGCTGTTGTTGCTAGGTTGCATATGCCAGGTATTGACCTTTCATCTCACAATAGTTGAGGGTCAGCAGCAATGCAACATTGAACAATGTGGTGGAAAGAGCATGCAATGCTGCTGTGCAAGTGCAATATGCAGACATCACTTCGAGTACATGCTTTTCTTTTAGCACTGTAGCACACACTTAGCTCTCCTTCTTCTTTTGAGATGCCCAACACTTAGCCTTGACAAAAGTATCTCTGCGGTCCAGAATTCTTTGGGTCTGGGAAGCAACACTCAACACTGTAAACGAATGGCGAGAAGAAGGACTCATCCCCGAATGGTTTCTGTGTCGTTAGGTACATTTCTCGACTCTGAAGCAGGGGCGTCGGAACCGGTGCGGCAGGTGCGGCCAAAGCCGCACCAATAATTTTGGAATTTTTTTTTTTACATTTTCAACCTTGTTGATGGCATGTCGACTCTTGTACAGGTACCATGTTTTACATCGACAATGCGGTGTGTCATCAGCATGCATAGTCTTATTTCTCATATTATTCTGTAGCATTAAAATATTGCCTTTTAGGCCCAATTTTCAAAAAAAAATCACGGGGGAGGACCCCCGGACCCCCCTCTCACACTTTCGCCGCACCAATGTTAAACTGCTTCCGACGCCCCTGTGAAGATGCTGAAGTACAGCACTAGCAGAAACACCACTTAGCAAATCCTCCGAGCGATGGCTCCAGGCCTCGGTGGAAAATTCTGCGTCTGTTTGTTGAGCAGCATCTAAGATTTGATGGATTCAGCGGAGAAGCAGCTTTTTCTGTTCCCGATGCAGATGGTGTCAAGGTATTCGCTGCTGTAGCGACCAGTGAAGGAGGAACGGATTGTCATCGCCCTTTCGCTGCTCGGACCCGACTGCCATCATTGTCCCCTGTCCTAAGCTCTGTGGCGTTGGGAATAAAATAAAATCTTCCTGTCTTATCTCTGCAACAAAATCATCTCGCTTTCCATCTACCGGTATCTCTCCCTCACGTACATGTACGTCTTCAGCTGAGCAAAAGTCCATCTGGCAATCGTTTCGCCGACAGGTGGGTTCGCACAGCGAAAAGCTATGGCTGGTGTACTATTTCTTGCTGCCATATCTGGGTATCAAAATGAAAAATTGAAAGCAAACTATGCACAAAGGTATCAGAGTTCCTTTTCTTCATCCGAAAATTTTCTCCGACGGAATGCTAAAATGCAGTAACAGTGGAACTGCATGCATCCCATTCATGCACGTGCAGCACCTGATCGCGTAAACTCGCAACAAGCCTAAAATCCGTGTACTTTGTGCATCCCGTGCACTTGACAAGCTAAGCCTGGGCGCATCAATCGAATGCCCTCTCAACTTTTCGAGCGCTTATTTGGCATATCATCTATTGCACAAAACAACATGTTCACAGATGTGTGCTCAAGGGCCATAGCTTTGCCGGCTGTGCTCGGCTACATGAAATCTCTACTATTAAAGAGGGTACATGTTGGCAAATTATCCCACTCTGTCCGCGATGGAGTGTTCACAGAAGAGCACCTGGTGTCCGACATCTCTACTAGATGGCTAGTGCCACGGGGTCTTTGCCTACAGTGCGTGTAGTGAATTCCTTATTCTACACTAGCTAGAAGCCAAAGGTATCCAAATAAGAAATACATGCAACACGAAGGCTGCGTGATCCTGGCTCTGCCAGACGTACTATTGAACAAGCAGAGCATTTAGTCGGTGAGCAATTTCCGACGAAAGGGATTCGTCTGGTTGAAAATGTCATTCTGAAAGTATAAAGCGGAACTGCTGAAAAGCTGGACAAGTTGGTGTTAGTCCAATTTAGTCCCGGAGCTCTTTGGGCGAAAAGAAGAAATTCATCAAACTCCCAGTGAATGTTTCTGCTTACGTCGTACGCTTTCGGGGTTTTTTGGCACAGGCCGGGAATAGCATCATTGCTACTATTTGCTACGTACGGGACCAGAGGACAGAGGAGGAAGCACCAACTTACCTCACGTTCAATGAGCCGTGTGAGTGCTTCGTGCGTGCTACCACCTTCCACGCGTGCATCAATAGGCAAGTCATGTAACTTGACCTTGACCTTCTTCTTGGGTGGATCACTGCAGAACTGTCAGTAACACAGTAACACAGGAACAACAATGATGATTTAGTGACAGCTGCTCAGCTGCTTGCAGCTCCTCACCTTGCATTGTCAGGATTAGCATGTGCGACAAATGGAAGAATTTCTAGTGAACAAAGGAACACATCGTCAGTATACATGTACATCAGCTCCGTCAAATTCTCAAGGGACCAAGAACGTTACGGGTGCAGCATGTCCATCGCCTTAGTCCATCAAAATATGTATCAGGTGAGCTCACCTTTTTCAACCAATCATCACTATTTCCAGATGCATCCTCCTCAATCGTGATGTTCTCCACAAGAACGGCGGACGTGACATTAAATATACCATGGATGTTTACGCGGATCTTAACCTTGACTTTGTAGGCGTCTCCCTCTGAAGTAGGGACAACCTTGGCGATGGTGTACTTACCTAAAACAGCAAGGAGAGGGAGATAGAGAGATTAAGGGGGTCAATATATTCCTTACTTACGACTTGGTGTATATGCAACACACACACGCTTGCACTCAAGTGCATAACTGCATATTGTAACATGTTCGTTTTTAGTTCTATATGGACTCACCTATGTTAGGGTCAGTGTGTCCTCCATCAGCATACTGGGCATGGATGAAGAATGGCTCACGGCGGAAAAAAGAAAGCATTTTCGAAAAGGGGTAGGTATGACGAGGAGGGAACACATCCATCTCTCTAAAAATTGATGAAGGCACAAACATATGCACATGAATAGTATTATTCTCATGCATACCCTCTACAATATTTTTCTTCTTCTTCTCTCCAACAGAACATTGGCAAGCAAACACATACACAAGATGGGGGGGGGGGGTGCTTACTCTTGCTCTTCCTCGCAAGATGGCTTCCATGTCAAGCGGATTGGGTAACTGACGACGTCCTCCACCTTGAATATTCGCACCTTGAATGTTGGTGAGAGCATCGCACACTACACAGAGAAGGATAGATAAGATAGGTTTAAAACAGCACACATCCGTGCATGTTTGCCAGAAAGCTTACATGTACAAACCAGTATAGAATGTGTAGTTATTCTAGTCAGAACTGCAACTGCTCGCATGCAACTTTTTTGAATTTTTCATTTAGCTCAACCCATACCCTAGTAGATAGGCTACATTTTCAGCCATTGCCCAACCATGGAATGTGCTCCCACAAACATGGCAATAATCCTTCCTCTGGAGACATCGTGCCTTTCTTATTCACAATCTAAGGAGTTCCCGTGCTCAAAAAATTTGGCTCAGTGGAACAAAAACACCTCAAGACAACGAGTGGATATACTTGTTTGAAGTACGTACACCACTACACAAATAAAAGTGGCACCGTTTGCATCTCACTCAGAGTCACTATTGCTCGATTACCCACAGATCAAGTCAAATCGAGTGTGTTGTCAACTACATGCCAATAGATATGCTGCCAGAAGATGAGAAAAAACCCGACTTACCTGAAGGGCGCATCCACGGGCAACAGCCTCATCCTGGTTGAGTGTGGTGCTGAGCTCCAAGCCAAACACACGCTTGATGGCGTCACGAACAGCAGGCACGCGTGTAGAGCCACCAACAACTTCGACTGAGTACAAGTCCTTTGTGCTAAGGCCTAGAAATCAACAGGAGACCAAAGGGATGCATATTTAAAAAAAGAGAAAAAAGAGAGACACAGTTGGCTCGATCGACCAGCACACGGGCTGGACTTCGTTTTTGACGATGAATGTACGCGTGGAGGTCAAGTCCGGCGTGACGTCACTCGGTACTTCGGGACAATTTTGGGGACCTTATTTTCAAGTTTTCACCCACTTCCAGTCATTGCAGAGAAAAACGAATAACACCATCGTGATCAGGAGCTAAAGAACTACAAGATAAGACAAAGATTTTTTTGGTGACAGTTCCCCTTTAACTAAAAAAACCCAGTTAAACACACACTAACCAGAATCGGTGAGGACTTTCTTCATGGGAACCTCCAGGCGTGCAAGCAAGTCGGCACACAACTCTTCCATTTCAGAGCTGCACAGAGAGAAACAAGATAAACTTCCTTTGCTCGTGAGACAGACAACGGGCAACGTAGAACAAGATACAATACAGAGTATGCCATGCTGTGACCCAAAGATTCCATGGGTAACCCCCACCCACCCAAGCACAACAGTGGGTATGTTTTTGTTTGTATTTGGGGGGGGGGGGGGGTGGCGGCGTGGACGGGAGAAAAAACCAACACATGTAGTCTTGAAAAATGTATCGTCAGTTACAGATGACTGCTAAATAGCTAGACCAGGCGCGAAAAGCTTACCGCTTCATTTTGGCAGTGACATCCTTGTCATCCATAAAGCACTCGATGTAACTGTTCATAGGGATGGGGGTGGTGTTTGCACTCATCAGCTTCTTGATCTTTTCACTCTCCTGGCTGAGGCGAATTCGGGGTTGAGGCTTTGTCGACGCATCAACCTTGTACTTGTTCTAAAATGGTAAACAAATGAGATGCAAGCATGGGCTGAATAACCCTCAGGATGGGCAATGTCCGGAAATTTGGTGAATGAAGGATTAACAATTTTAGCAGGAAAGAAACCAAGTAGAATGAGTGTTGAGACCGAGTATATGTGTGAATGTGTGCGTTGGAATGTGCTAGCTCATAGAATATATGTGGGTATCTACAACAATACAATGAAAGAACACATGGTAGGACAGCACTCACCTTGAATTCCTCATTGAAGTGTTTCTGGATGCGCTCATCAAAATCACGGCCACCAAGCTTGGAGTCCCATGCAGTGGCCAAGACCTATAGCCACACAGGAGGAACGTACCAATCAAGCCAACTACCCTTCGGCCTACTTGCTACATGCCATGCACTTTTTTCTTCAATACTCGCAATAAATCATGCACTCTTGCTCACTCCTTGTTGAACAGCGGCTATTTCCTAGGACTGAACTAGTAATGCACGTCTGGGCATGGGTCGGGTTTCGTCTTATACAGTCAACTTCGCTAATAACGACTGCGGATATAACGACAATTCGCGAATAACGACAGAATTTCCATGCCCAGAGCAAAGTCCCATCTAACTGTATACATTTAACTTCGGATACATCGACTATCTGAATAACGACAATTCGCGAATAACGACATGCTTTTAGTGCCCCCCCCCCCCCCCCGAGGTCATATTCACTGCTTGAATAACGACTTTCTGGGCTTTTGACAGCTATTTCAAGTACCTGTCACGCAGAAGTACCAGAACCCATGCCATGCATGGCGATGGATAAAGGCACACATGCAAGAAGATGCAGCCAAGGGGGGGGGGGTACTTTTATTTTTTGCTTCTAACTACAGTTGACCTACACTTATAACGATATTTGCGTCACACCAAGAAATATTGTTATAAGGGTAACATTGTTATAGGGGTAACTGGTTCATTTCATACTTATACGTCATAATGCATGGATTTCGTTCATTTTTTACACTCTTGATAGCATAAAAAAACTGACGTACATGCACATTATGTGCACAGCAAGGTGCCCACTGGTGCCGCATTGCATTTCGTCCCAGTGACTTATCAAGTGAAGCTTGCCCTACCTGGATAGTGGGCTCTACATATTCCCTGCTAGATATTGTTATAAGGCCAAAACAAAAAATAGGCTTGTTTCCGGTCGGCAACCCCTCGAAAAGGAGACTCGGTCGGCCGGAATGAAACTTTTTTTGGATATTTTATTTTGGTTCCTCAATTGTTGTGGTATTGATGGACAAGAGCACCTACACATGTACATTGTATATATATCACGGCAAGGATCAATGTCAAAGTAAGTTGACTGCGTACTGACTCACTGTTCTTGTACAGCATGTGGTGTATTCCTGTTTTCGTACATCCTGAGAAATCAAGCAAACAGTTCGAGTCCTTCCAGCTCCGTTATTCTAGCTCGTATCGACCCCGGAGGTTTTCGAGCCGACAGCTGAGAATCTTTGCTACCTAGTAGGTGTTTTGATTGTGGAATTCGGTTGAGATTTGACTGAGTTATGACTCGTTGAGTGCACTTGCTCACATGGCATTGCCACCGTTTGTATACATTTGGCACCAAAAAAAAGTTTCAGAATTTGGGAAAAAGTGGCCCGGTCGGGCGACCGGAAACAAGGTCATTATTTGTTTGGGCCTAAAATGGAAAATGTCGATTGGTCAGCCCATTTTATATCGTTATAGGGGTAATATCGTTATAGCAATATTGGTATAGAGGTAAGGCATTGTATACACAAGTCAATGGAGTGATTTGGTTTGGCAGAAACATATCGTTATAAAGGTTATCGTTATAAGGGTAGGTTGACTGTACATGTTGGAGTGATCAGCACAGCTCCAATGTACTGTAGTTGTACATGTAGGTCTACATGTACATGATTGTACAGTAATCATCATACATGTCATGTACATTGTACATGTCCCTGTAGATGGCTCCAGAACTTGCAAAAGGCTAATTTTTCCAATCTATTTCCCTTCCAGAATGAAGTTGAAGACACCACTACAGCTGTACTTATGGTTGATAAATATGGTACCATATTTATCAACCATAAGTACAGCTGCAGTGGTGTCTTCAACTTCATTCTCCCGAGTCAAGCTCCGTATGAAGACATCAATGAAGAAGATTGCCTGATGAGTCCAGCGGGGACGAAACGTACGTCGCAATCGAGCAATGTCGTTGCTGTGTCATCATCTACATGTATGTGCCATGCGCTACTTGATGTACCAGCCTGCTATGCCGGATACCGCCAGCCATGCATCGACCAGGCGCCAGGCGTGAACTGATGGTGGTGGTGGTGGTGAGAAGGAGAGCTATGTGCCAGAACTTTGCAGCCTAGAGAGCGTGTGTGGGCAGGCGTGTGTTTACGGCCATATTGCCAGGTGTGTCTTTACCACCATATTTATCAACCACTATTTCCCTTCCATATCGACTTTATAGTTCCTTTCAATTGTAATATGAAAATGGGGTACACGTTGGCATAGAGCATGAAAAAAGCTTCACTTTGATATGCGTGTCATACTATACAAAATATGGGTTCACATACATTCAAATGGGACTTCGGGTATAAGGACACTTCGCGAATAAGGACATTTTGCCGATGCCCCGCCGAATGTCGTTATTCGCAAAGTTGACTGTACTTTGTTGCACTGGAATACTCGATCGAGATGAAACAAGAAAGGTTTTGATTTGCGGTGAGCATGCCGCACAAGCAATTCCACCCTCAGAAGTTACAGATGTCCCTACATTGGACCTGCCAACATTGGCACACAAGCCTACTGTCTGTAGGAAGGAGTAGCAAAAAAAAACTGGTCTGTAGCTACAAGGGAGTACTAAAACTCAGTAAAAAGTTTAGTTCTCCCTGGTAGATACCGTACTCGTACGTGAACCAGGGTTCGTAGCACAACATATACACAAAATTTCAGGGGATTTCCAGGGGCATTTCAAGGGTATTCACAGATGTCATACAGTCGCTAGACACCACATATCCGTAGTCAAGCAGAGGTTCACTGATTCAGAATGTCAATAATCGAAGATTTGATCATCAATAAAATACTACAAGTACTAGAGCCACCGTCACCATCGAGCTTCTCCATCGCTGAGTTCTTAGCGAACTAGCCAGTCTTTGTACGGGTCCAAAGACAACCAGCGATCGTTGAAAACACACTTGCCTTTCGGCATGGAGAACAAGTACAACTCTGTAAAACGTCTTCGGCATTCTGAAAAAAAACTGAAGACACTTTGTCTTGTTGAAGGCCAAAACAAACAAATAAAACGGAAAAGCAGTTGCAGTGGCAGATTCCAGTTTCGCTAAAGTCAGGAACCGTCGTACCGCAGTCGATAGTCGAGCGTACATGGCGATCAAGGCTCAAATGTAAAAAAATACCGTAAAGATCTACGCGAGCTGCGCTGGCCGCTGAGGCCGTCGACTCACATGACCAGCACAGGTGACCGGACTGGCACTCGTAGATCTATGCATATCATGTAGATCTACAGTCAGTCGCTGAGTACGGAGGTCTACCAGGTCGCGTGATCTGGAAAACAAATTTGAGGGGATTCAAGGGACATTTTCTAATAAAATACAAAATTTGAGGGGATTTCAGGGAATTCCCGGGGGAAGAAAAACTTTCAGGGTTTTCAAGGGTTTTCAATGGTGCTACGCACCCTGGTGAACAGTTCCGTGTGCACCACTGCACTGGTGCACTGCAGCCTGTTTCACAAGTGTCGACTCCGCAAGTTCTACTTTTTCCCCATAAAGATGTGTAACGATACAGCGAAGACTTGAGAATTTGCGACAAAGGCTGATGTTTGCGGAGTTTGTCGTGGCCGGGGGATTGCAAATGTCTGTGGGGGGCAGACTATGTAGAAACAACATTCTTCGTGTAGAACACTAGGTAGAAAATCATCACTCACCTTGAGTTTGCCTTCGATGAAAGAGGCAAGAGTGACCCTTAGAGCAGAATTGCCCATATCAACAAACACAACATTAAGCGGCTTCTCCTCTGGTGCAGGAAGGTCCTGCTTGTAGATACCGTAAGCGAGTGCGGCTGAATAAGACAGCAACACACATCAACAAAAAAACGCGTGTAAGAAGCAAAAAAAGACAGGACACCAAAAACCAGCATCAAGGAAAATCGGAAGACTCCGGCACAAAGAAATAAAACTATAAAGTGTACTAGGTGCTTGGTATACATCAACATAAAGGGTGCACGGAGTCATAAGCGAATCAATGGCCAGTCAATTTAACTGCCCAAGGAATCACATTGACTTGTTTCTCCCTGGCCTCTATCACAGGAGCCAAGGACACACTCAAGATGTCAAGAAAACTAGATCATACTAGCAAGAAACGATCAGTAGACCACTCCACACACTTGCAATTCACACAACATACTGGCAGTAGTGTCATTCATAAGGCGCAGGCAGTTGAGACCAGCGGTAGCAGCTGCATCCAACAAAGCCCTCCGTTGGCGGTCATCGAAAAAGCACGGTACCTGAGAAAATTGGCACAAACACAATACTCAGCGTATAAGAAATTAAGAATGATACAAAACCAATTTGATGTGTATTTGATCATGCGGCAACTACAATCTTGTCATACAGAAATTTCCGGTAAGAAAAATGGTTCCCTAAAGTCATCCTATCTCGTGCAAATGCCGGTGTGATCACTGGCAGAACTTACTGAGATGACGCAATCGCTAACTTTCCCGCTGAGGTTCATCTCTCCGACTTTCTTCAGCTGAGTCAAAAGCATGGCAACAACTTGTTCTGGCTTGAAAATGCACGCTTCACCAAGATATTTCATCTACGGTGGCAAAACAAAAGACAACAGTACACAAAATTAGTAACTCTGGAACGGCTGCTCCAATCAACCTGGCACCTTCACCATTGTAATCAGTGCATCTTTCGCTACATGTAGGGGCCCATTGGCTAAAACCAAGGTCCAATGGATACAGCTAAGGAAAGCTCCGACTAAGTCTGAAAAGGCAAGGAAATAAAAGTAGACTGCTTCGCCGTGCGGTGATTGGTCAAACCTAAATGACCATCGGGCACGCTTCGTACAGTTGCAGTGAGTCCTGCCTGTCAAAATCATACTAAAGGTAGCAACGAGCTGATGGTTGAAAGTGGCTAAGAGCCCAAAAATAACAGTCTTCATGGAAACACAAGCGCTGTTTTCAGCTAAACACCTGAGTCCATAGTATGTCTACGGGCTAAGCACACCAGCTCAAGTACTCTGCTACACTGGTGAATCAGTGAGATCTGCACAGTAAAGAGAGGAGGTACTACCCCGCATAAGAGTGATCAACAAAAGGGAGCAAAACTTATACATACATGAATGCCAACATCGCCATCCTGAGTCTCTTCAGCGCTGAAATGGGAGAAGCGGAGTTCATGCGTAACAGCAGGATCGGAGAACTTCAGACCCAGCAAATTGCGGAAGTTTGTAGCGGTGTTCTTGAAGTTAGTGACAACCTGGGACAGAGAGCACAGACGAGTTCATGAGGTAACAACCAGCTGCAAATGGAACCCAAACTTGATCATATATCGGTCTTCAGAATGATGCTGAAAACGAGGGAGAATCACTGTTAATTAATGTAGGATGAGAGGATGTACGGAAATGGGTGCGATCAAGAGTCCATAAACAAGAGTGTGCAACGCCACATAGATGTCTGTCACGACTCGTTTTCAACATTACGTCATTTTGATGTAGCTGCGCGTGCAGGCCGCGACATTCGCTGCATGAAAATGACGTAATGTTGAAAACGAGTCGTGACAAGACCCTATCGCGCGTTGCACACTCTTGTTTATGGACTCTTGGTGCGATGTTGCTCAAACTGACAATAGGGCATGAAAACACAAAGTGACATTGTACCAAATAATTATGATACCACCAGCTGCACAACGTAGATGCAATACTACATCGTAGAAATCAGAACAGTGATGCACAGCAGCAGAAAGAACAATCAGCAAAGGTGACACACACACACACACACACACACACACACACACAAAAACTCTGATCACCATAACTTCGGGTTACCAGAGGATGCACCAAGTGTGCTTAGTGTGCTCGGTACCGCAGAGGCAGAAGTATTTGGGATGAATTTATGCAGCAGGTTGCGATGCGAAAACACTCTACTGCGACTCAAAAAGCGCAACGACTCGCAGAAACTGCGATACAGGCTATCCATGTCTAGCTTGAGCGGTCAAGTACTATTGTGGACATGGAAATCCGGTCGCACGTCTAGCGAACCCAGGGCGCTGACCATGCAGCCGTGGCCATGTGGTACACACATGCATCTATGCGCTGCAGCCCGCTGGTCGCATCGAATCAACATGTGCGCTGCAAGCAGCGTTCTGTACGCGCCGAGGGCGCCGGCCCCGGTCAATCGACTGGATTTCCATGTCCGCTACAGTAGCATGCCTGCAGTGCAGTGTACATTGTAGGTGGTACAGGTACTCTCAATCTGCGCGCACATCGATGCTGCAGTTGTGCATGTGTAGGGTGGAAGCAGGACATATGCGTACACAGACAGTGCTGTTGACAAGAGATGGTGAGCCCAGTACGTGGTGGTTGCGCTGTGCTGTAGCAGCTAAACCTTTACCAGAAACAATCTTCTCGAATTTTGTGCTGATGATGAGGACCACGCGCGCCTTTCTGTTTAACACTGGGATTTTTTCAGCTAAAGTTCATCGTTGAGTCTGTCTGATTCCGGTCCTTAAACGTGTACCTGACAGAGTTCTTGCGAGTGGGTGTCTGACGTTGATGTGGAAAAAAATGGCTCCGCTGTGGGAAGGATGAAGACACAGCGGTGAAGTAACTGGACATTCTCCATTTGCCTTCAATAATTATTTTCAAAACGAAACTCCATCAAACCCACCCACCCCCAAACTAAATCTTTTCGTTTTGAAAATACTATTGGTAACCTTGGACGGCCCCCTACACAATGTATAAAAACCAGCATTTGCCAAATGGAAGGAAGAATGAGGAACGAGCGGGAATGAGGTGCTTATACGCATGCAACTGCAGAATAGGCGAAACAGAAAATATCAAAACAGTCCAATGGCAAAAACTGCTACGCAGAAATGACAGTAAAATAATAATTCATCCCTTTTATTACACAGTGGCACAAGATTGGTTCATTGCAACTCTGAGTTCCATGCTTATTACCATGAAAATATCCGGTAACTGATGATTGCACTGTAATGAGCATGCAACTCAGAATTCCAAAAAACAAGCCTTGTGCCACTGTTGTACTGTGTATGTATTACTAGGATTTAAAACAGTTCTACTGAGAACGTAGTTTCTACAGGATATACATACCTGCTGCTTAGCGGCAGAGCCAATGAAGCGCTGCTTTGGGCCAAGTGATACAATAGACCTACACAAGAAAGGCAAGTTTCAACAGCAACAACCAAGTTATGACTGCTACATCAATCCTGAATAGTCCTTATGCACATTGTACAGATGTACGAAGTTCTGTACTATGGCCGTAGGTGTGTACATACCCGGTTGGGTGTTCATCGTGTGCTATACATGCGCGTTTGACCCATTTAGCCTCACAATTCATGGCAAACGATCACTTTTCAAGCCTTCTTCACTTTGGGATTGAACTAACGACTAGCTAGATCTCTGCCGGAAAAAGATTTCGTATGAAATGCCTTCATGGCCCATTTCATAGTGGAAATAGCAGTAAACACAATAGGGTCCTGCACATTCAACACCCAACCGGGTCTACGGGATTCTACAAGATTATACGGGATTTCGTGCATCTGTACAATGTGCATAAGGCCTATTTAAATCCGACCTGCTCAACAGTGAGAAAAACCAAAATAGACGTGCAGTACTGGTAGTCGTACTCACGGAGTGCTTCTGTCGCCGTATTCATTCGCAACAGTTTCGATGCCACCTCCTCGAGCGACTGCGACAAAGCAGGACTGGTTTCCCAGGTCCAATCCAATAACCGACATTTTGGCTACGTCTTGAACAGACTTCTCCTTGATCGATGAAGAAAGAAAATCTTCCGAGAGGTAATCCGCGAAAACAAAATGGCGTCACGATCTATTGAAAGTGGTATTTGGTGGTAGATCTACGAGTGTTCAAAACCATTTGAACTTCATACTGTTCGTCTTCTTTTTGACATGCTCTCTTTCCATCGTCCAGTGCCAGCAGTGGCGTGTCCAGGATTTGGCTGAGGGGGGGGGGGGGGGGGTTGCGGCCGGGATGGGGTGGGGGTAGATGTCATCATGATACTGTCCCAGGTCAGCCATTTTGAAAACCGATGTCAAGAAGCTCCTCCTGTAGCCCCCTTCTTCAACAGGTATTCACCCGAACGGCCCCAGGCCAGAGACTGTTCCGGAGGATCAGCGCACCACACGGGACAAGTGTCGAACTTACTTGCTTCAAGTTCTTATTCCCTTTCTTCGTCGGCCTGTGGGACGATCGACCATGATGTTTCGGGGAAGCATTCTCTGGAACGCTCTCCCCTCTGATTTTAGAGTGATACGTGTCCCTGGTCCCTTCCGAAAAGCTCTTTCTGCCATTGATATGTTGTGCGCTATCTGTCGATCTGGAAAATCGATCGATTTTCTTGCGCGATCTGTCGATCGACAGATCGCGCACGGATCGATCGATCGTGAAACTATCGCGAACCTAACCAGTCTCGTTCGTACTGCCAAGGCGGAGGTGAGGCTGTCAAAGCCCAAGCCCTGCTGCTCCGCTCCAGTGTGCCGGAGGCCAAGCAGCGTGTAATCGACCTGGCTGCGGAGAAGGGCTCTTCCAGTTGGCTGACCTGCAGGCCCTTGAAGCGCCATGGATTTGCCCTCTCCAAAGCGGAGTTTCGCGATGGAGTGCACCTAAGGTACAACTGGCAACCACAGCGCATGCCATCAGGGTGCGTTTGTGGAAGCCAGTTTACTGTGGCCCATGCCCTCTCGTGCCCCACCGGCGGTTACCCTACCATCAGGCATAACGAGATCCGCGATGTCACCGCTGGTTTCTTGAAGCGTGTTGCCACCAACGTATCTGTAGAGCCTCATCTGGAGCCCCTGAGTGGGGAGCAGCTGCGCTATCGCACCGCCATCCGCGACGACCAGGCTCGCTTGGACGTAGCAGCAAATGGAGTGTGGGGAGGGCGGTTCGAACGCACCTTCTTCGACGTCCGGGTGTTCAACCCTTTTGCGTCTTCGAACCAGTCCTCCTCCATTTCTGCCACCTACGTTCGCCATGAGAAAACGAAGAAGAGATCGTATGAAGAGAGGCTGCGGGAGATCGAGCATGCTTCATTTGTCCCGTTGGTCTTCTCGACAACCGGTGGCATGGGCAAGCAATCTGCCTCGCTTTACAAGCGAATTGCATCTCTCATTGCTGAGAAAAGCGGCGAACCGTATTCGGTTGTTATGTCATTCATCCGCTGCCGCCTTAGCTTTGCGTTGCTCAGAGCGAGTGTCATGTGCCTGCGTGGTAGCCGCTCTGTATTCGCTGTACATCAGGTACATGCACCTGTCTCTTCTTCTGCCTCCCTAGCCTAGTATAGTTGCTGCCGAACTTACTGGCACTTCCCGTCATTAATTTTATACTAAATTATAGTCTTTAGTTCTTTTTATATTTGCCATGGCGACCCCCGTGCCCAAATGCGAAGGACTAAAGCCAGGGACCGTCACTTAATTTTTGCCGACCACCCGCCAAAAACATCTTTTCGTTTGCCGTGTCAGACACGTCCGCGAGCGCGTACGACTCTCGCTACCTTTCACGTCAACTTCAAGCAATCTGTTCACGCCACATGGCTGGATAGCGCGTACATGCAAACATGATTGAAGACTTGCAAAATCAATTTTTTTACAAGTCCAGGCGCTAGGCCTAGGCAGTACTAATGCCTACATTGTAATGCCCAGGCAGCTGACTTTATTTTCGGAGAAACACTACTCATTGTAGTAAAAAGTAACAATGAATAGCGATATCATCAGACTAGGAAGGATCGCTACCCTAACGCAAAGGAAAGGCCTTGCGCGGCTGCTCTACGAAGTGTTTAAGAAAGGCTCATCAAAGTTAGTTGGTGGACGAACAACTCGCTGGCGCCGGAAAACGTGGCCCCCAACGATGGTGTTTGGTGAATCATCAAGCATAATGTCTTGTAGCAGTGTTCACCGAGGAAGGAGAACGCTCTAGCCGCTGCTGTTGTCCGTTTCATCCACGTTGGGCGTTAGCTGCACCGCGCTTATTGCGTTTTAGTATTTCATGGACACACATTAGCATTCAGAGCGATTGTGGAGCCACAATTTACTTCACACAGCGTTGTATTGTCCACGAGCGCAAACTTCATTATCAGCAGTAACTGTTACTCTTCATCCTACATGTAGACTTGGAGTATACACGGCCTTGTCACGACAGCGACAGCTCTACAGAGTGTTCAAGTGAGAAACATTAATTTCTATTGTTGGTGGACGAATAAATGGCTGGTTCCGAAAAAACGCGGCCTGCACCGATGGTGTTTGGTGGATCATCAAACAGGGTGACCAGCAGTGTTCACCGAGGAAGGAGAATGCACTCGCCACCACTCCGATTCATCCAAGTGGGCGTTAGCTGCGCCGCGCCTATTGTGTTTTAGTATTCCATGGACGCACACTAGCGTTCTCAGCGATTGTGGAGCCACAACATATCTTCATGCGGCGTTGCACTGTCCAAGAGCAGAAACGTCAGCAGTGACCCATCATCATACATGTAGATTTGGAGTATACACACCATGCGCCAATGGGCCTTGGCACAACAGCGGCAGCTCTACGGAGTGTTCAAGTGAGAAACATTTGTTTCGACTTTTGGTGGACGAACAAATCGTCGGTGCCGAAAAACGTTGCCTGCGCCGATGGTGCTTGAAACATCAAGCATGGTATGTGGTGACTGTCAGTGTTGATCGAGGAAGGAGAACACTCAGGCCGTCGACCGTTCATCCATTTCGTTAGCTGCACCAAGTCTATTGTGTCCTTGTATTCCATGGGCACACAATCATGAAGCATGGCGTCTGAGCTGTGTTCACAGAGCGGGGAGATGCTCTTGCTGCTATCTTATCTGTCCTGTGTATTCCCAAGTGCCGAAGGCTCACAACGATGGTGTTGGACAAGTCAGATAAAATAGAGTCAACGTAAGTACGCATGTGTACTCTTACTGACTGAAACATAAGTGGGGTGTAAGAGCTAATTCAAATGGTGTCGTGACATTCTCATGTACGAGGTTAGTGTGTAGTACTTGTTACGTACTGAATTCTGTGACTTTGTTTTGTCTCCATATACTGCATGCATTCACGTTTCACAGTTATCAGTTTGACCCTGATCATGCCTTGCCTGCCAGCTCTACTACGATATTATATGTCACGTACCCGCGCGCGCGCACGGTTCTCCTGCGCTTGGGCTTGCTTTCCCTTGGTAGTTGGAATTCAGTGGCTGTTTTAGTACTCTTAGATTATGTACAGAAAGTGGTGGACATCACGCAAATGCAGTGTAAATTAAAGGGTGGTTGTCAACTGACAACCACATAATTTTTCGACATAATTAATAAAAGAATTTTCATCTAAAGAGTGAAAAGCAACTAAATAGAGCGGTTGTCGGTTGACAACCCCCCTTTTATTTAGATTATGTATCTGAAGTAAACACAATGTAGAAATATCACAATTGTCTCTTGTGTATTATATCCGTCTGATGTCACCAGATCGTCACACGGTGCTGTGACCAAGATACGGATCATGCCGAACGCTGATTCAACTGGACGAATCGCGAGGCTTTTCAGATGCAGGGACCCAATGGAAACTGAATGACTTCAGAACAGCACTGAAGCGTTATGTTATCATGCAAGACGCCTTTCTGCGCCGCACAAACACAGGCGGTACTACAGCAGAAGATGTCACTCACTATTCTGCAGGTGCACTGGTGACAGGCGCATGCAAGTTCACCAGAAGGAAGCGGTCTGATGTTAACTGGAATGCCAGCAGTATGAGAGGGTGTGCATTCTGCGGCGGATCTCACCTGGACAAGAGCTGCGCGAAATACACAACAGTAGCACAGCGGAAAGAAAAACAGATTGAACAGAAGCGTTGCTTTGTGTGTTTGCGCACAGGGCACCGGTCAACTCAGTGCAAGGCCACCCGCAAGTGTAATGTGTGTTCTCGCATGCGTCACCAATCAGAGTCACCATCATGTCACGATCTGCCCTGAATCTCAACAGAAATCTGACAGCAGTACCAACATAGTAGCTGACCAGCCTGTGGCTGACGAGGTACCAGCATCTAGCGCAACAGCAGCTAGTGCAGCATCAACCAGTATCGCCATTGACAGTCAGTCGTCTTGATCGGTGCAGATTTCCTCTGGGAGTCTTGACGGGGAGCACCAGAGGACTTCCGCCAGGACTACAGTTTCTGCCTACCACAGTCGGTTTTGTGGTGACTGGCCGAACACGTCACTCCAAGCACTCAGCTACGCCGATGAGCAGCCATGCCAGCTATCGTTTCTCTAACTGATGCAACTTCCGACTCCTGCACCATCCCAGATCTGTGGGACCTAGACTGTGTTGACATCCAGGATTCAGGCAATCTTACTAACAACGACCTAGCCATTAGGCAATTCATCATTGTTCTACGATTTTGCCTGCCACCAATTGTCATGACCTGCGATACTGAGAAGGCCATTTTACAAATCAGTGCCAACCCAGCATACAGAGATGCGACACGATTTCTGTGGTTCGCCAACTCCGACAGTCCATCAGTCACCCCATCCAGCCTGTTCACGCTCATAAGCAGTCCATTTCTGCTTGGCGCGTCTATACAGCATCATTTGGCACAGCAAGATGACAAAACAGCTAGCAGTGGCTATTGGTGAGAACATTTTCTGCTGTGCCATTGGAGTGTGCACGATACACGAACCCTGCTCTTTTGTTGGCACCGCCTATGTAATTACTGCATAGGGTACAAGGTGACCGTTGTCGGTTTACATGTACTCCAGTTATTACACCGTGCATGCACTGAGTCTGTGCTGCACTGTGCATCCATAGGTGT